GCGCGACGTTCGCGCAAAAAGGAGAAAAAAGAGAAGAGAAAGAGAAAAGCAGAGAAGAAAGGGAGAAGAAGAAAAAGACCGAGCGCCAATGCGATAATAATTGCCGATTTTATGCAGCCAATGAAAGACGCCCACCTGAAGACGTAGCACGCGCAGAGAGAATCGCGATGGGGTCTCATTAACGCCGAGAGACGTCGCCATTGTCATTGAAATGCGTTTCGGCACAGAAATCCGAAGGATATGTCGATATCCACGCCACCGCATCTCGAAGTATCCCGATTTTCCTCCGTTCTAATCTCGTCCGGGTCTCAACGCGATGTACACTTCGGCCTGAAGGCTGTCAATTCGATTTGAACGCTTCTTTCCCGACGCTGTTTTTTTAAAAGAATCCAATGTCCAGGGAAAGAATTCCTTTCCGAGTGATTCTTTTAGAAAACGTTGAACAACGTTTGAATAATGAAAAAATAAGATTTTCCGTTGAATATTAGTTGCGTTGAAAACCGCATCGAGAATATATTCCGAGTGATAACTTCGCTTTAACATTTTTATGCATATAACAACTTGAAGAACAAATATGAGGGAATAAGAATAAATAATGATAACATAATTATATTCAATTGCTAATTTGTTTTCCGATTCTGTAGATTTTGTTCATAATAATTTGACATTTTAAACACTCCTTATTGATTGCGACTTCATGAGTTTTAATTTTTCTTAATTTTTATTATATTATATATTACTAATAATTAATAAATTAATTATATAAATTATTAATTAATTATTGTCACTATACACGGAGAAAAATAATTTACTGGCAAATTTTATACTGTCGCAGTAAAATCTATCACTTATTAAATGGACAGCAGAACGATTTGTTAAGAGTACTAATCACCATTCGTTGGATCACTTTGTGTAATCTACAAATTATTTTGCTAAAAGAACAAATTAGTAAGCGTAGGAAAACACCATTTTGTCCTAACAGCAAATTAATTTGTTCTGAGGACAAATTCACTCAGCAGAATTGAATAATTTTGCTTCAGTTATGTGCACAAGCAAATAAAAAAATAAATATAAAGAATGCTTCTCTTAATAAATATTATTATTATTATAAAGAAAGACTCGGGTCTAAAGATCTGCCGATGTAATCACATCCAATTTGGTTTCCGACGCTGCATAAACGGAGATGCCTCTTCGCGCGATTATACACGTGGCGATTAGCTGTGCACGTTCAAGGGGAATGACGAATTGTCTTCGAAAAAAATTTTATTGGCGACGTCTGCTGCTCGGACGTTTCGATTTTTCGATTACCTTCAATGTCCGCGTGGCGCTCACCACGTGCGGTGTTTGTCACGTCTGTCACACACACACATGCTCACGTACTCATGCGCAAAATAATATCTACGAAATCGCTTCGACTCTAATATACGTAATACGGCTCTTTCAGGTCCAAGGTAACATGAGAAAATAATATTTGATATTGATAATTATAATCGTATTATATATATTAGAAAAAAATGGATATCTAAAGAATTCTTGAAGAATTAACTATGATTAATTCATCTTGAAATATTCTTCGGAAGTTCATCGTAGCGAATACTTCACGACTCAGTACTTCGAATATTCTGAGAATTCGTGAGAAATTACGAGTGGTTTCGTTACAATTACTTCCTGTGGCTGCGTTCAGCGTATGCTTGTGTTACTTTCAGTGCTTTGTGCGTATATTATCATATAATTGGGACTTTCACCATAAATAAGTGATATCTCAATATAATAAAAAGAAAAGCGGCACAATCGACACTATATATATATATATATATTCTCTTCGAATCGACACTATATATATATATATATATTCTCTTCGACTCTAATATACGTAATACGGCTCTTTCAGGTCCAAGGTAACGTGAGAAAATAATATTTGATATTGATAATTATGATCGTATTATATATTCTAATTCCGCGCTTACTCTTTAAAATGAATTCTCTATAAACTTCTGTTCATCTCCGTGTTATACGGAGTTATCATATGATACTAATAATTTTATATGCGTATTGTTATTACCGTTTTCTGGGTTGAAATCAGAAGAAGAAGATACAGCTGAGGCCGGAAATGACTGTAATCTTAGTGAGATTTCTCTCGGCGATGGATTCTCGGCTACGTAACGCCGTTTTATCTCTCACTACTATTTACAACTCTCCGCGGATTCGCGGGCTCCCATCGTTCCTCGTCGTTCTGTCCACGGTGAAGTGACGAGGTCTTAATTACAACATGATGACTTCAACTTCGTTGCGCTCGCGACTCGCATCGTACTAATAACTACCAAGTAGTACCTAGTACTACTAAGTGGGCCTGGTCCACTTGTGTTTTCAGCGTATCGTTTGATAACTCGGTGAAATTTCGAAAGCTCGTGCAGCGTGTCGGGCGCCCGCCCACACAAGCGCACGTCGAGGGATGCGGCGGTTCGAAATAAAGGGTTCAAGGAAGAACGAGAGACGCTCCTTCGAGGAAGTGCGAGAGCGAGCGATTCGAATCTCTTTCTCTCACGGATCTCGATTTCGCTCGTCTCTCTCGTCGTCCTCCTCCTCCCTCCTCGTCATCATCATCATCATCCGCGTCAAGGACTCACCGTGCGAACCAGGATTCGTCCGTCCGTTCTTCGTGTTCCTGGTATGTCGTACACGCGCGCCTGTGTGCGTGCACCGTCTACGTGCGTTCCACGTGACGCAATCGGATGCCGACGGCTGCAGCAGATCCTGCCGTGCTCGTGTTTTGCGGATGCTACCGGCTAACGGTCGCTGATACACAAAGCCGCAAAACACACACACACACACACGCACACCTGAACGAACAGGTACGCGAGTACAGAGCGGTTCAAAGGTGGCATCCGAAAATTCGCAGCTCGCTCGTCAATCCCATCCCCTAACCGCGTCATGCGAGAATCGCATTAACAATCTTATACCTTTGCGCGTTTCGCTTACATGATCGCTTCACCTTTACCTTGTCTATTCTATTGAGAAATCAGTAATGTCATTTGTGATGCTACTTGACGAGGCAATTGTTTGGTAATCAAGACGTTCGTTAACAATTTTCGTGCCTCTTGCGGTCGATTTGATTGAAAAGTTTGATTTAAGTTTCTTTTTCCTTCAGATGTATTACGGTAAATGTTGAGGAAGCACTTTTGAATCGTCCCGTAGCACGAATCCGAAGTAGCAGCGGCCGCCGGTGACGTCAGATCTGGTGAATGGGCCTCGAGATCGGGGTTGTTCGCTTACCGATCCAACCAGAAGAGGCGCGAGCTGCCGATCGCAAGAAACTCTCAAGAAATCGATCGATAATGCGGTAATGAGCTTCTTACGCGTTGCATTAACTTGCTAATTCGAAGTGGTTATTAGACTGATCTAAATGTTCTGTTCGATGGACGTGCACGAAAAACAAAGAGGTCCTTTTTACGACAAGTCGCGCTCCGCATTCCCGCGCGCTGTTGATAAAGTCGCGATCGATCGTGCTCCAGATTTCGCTTCGATTCTGCCGGGAAAGCGCGCATCGCAGCATTTGCGATTCGTAAACGATATGATGCGGTAAACGTATCTATCTCGTGGAACTCACAATGGTATACGGAAAATACAATCCTGTTGGTGTAACTGAATTTTCCGTTGCCTCCGTGGGGAAAAGTAATTTGTTGGCGCAACAAATTCTATGCTGTCGCAGCAAAATCTGTAAGTTGATGCATGGACAGCGCAACGATTTCTTAAGAATCCCAGTAAGAATCAAATATCAGTAGTGTAACATCAACGTTATGATTACCCACTCAACAATGTAACTGTTATGTAACACACGCGTTACATTGCATTTATATTGTTGAGTGGGAAATTATAACATTGATGTTACGTTATTGTTAATTGATGTTTACTGGAATTTTAATCGCCATTCGCTGAATTATTTTCCTCAATCTAAAAATGATTTTGCTGTGAGAACAAATTAGTAAATATAGGAAAACATTATTTTATCTTAAAAATAAAATAACGTTCTGCACCGATAGAAAATTATAGTTACATTCGGTAATCATATTTTATGGAATTAACAACATGTATGTAAAATTATTATCACTGATGTAATAATATTTACTAGAAAAATGTTTTTCTACTAACTATTTTTATGGTTAAAATAATAAAGGTAGGTATGATTGGCACCGGAAATAAGTATAATTTTCTATCAGTGTAAGGACGAATTCACTCAGCAGAATATTTTCTATCTCGGCAACAAAACTGTTCCTGCTCCAATTACGAATAATTCGTTACTTTGGTAATGCCAATTAATTTTTATCACCATCGTAACGAATTTGCAATAGCAACGATGTGGATTTCGTCACAACAGCAAAAGTATTTTTCTCCGTGTTGAAAACCAGATGAAAACTCGATTGTAGGAATAGAAAGATTCCTGTAGGAAATTTCTACGCAGTCGATCGCTTTCAGTTGTCTCAGTCGACTTTCAATGCAGCTGAATGTTCACACGAATGTTCTCAGTTGCGATAACAGAGATATATTTCTTGTTACTGAATATTCATTTCTTAGCATCGAGTTTTCATCTAATCTCTACTCAATTACAAGAATTTTTTGAGTAACAGAGAGTTTTTCGTGTAACAGAAGAAAAACTTGTTATGAAAACGTGAAATTAAAAAATCACTTGTCACATTAACTTGCCTACTAAATTATTAATTTTTAGCAATATGTAAATTATTATGGAGGGATATAAATATCCTGTATTACGCATATACAGAACAATTTTTCGTATAAACGCACACAACAAACTAGCCTTCAATGAATCAACTCTTGAATTCTAGTAGTGCAATTCTCTACATTATAAAAATTCCCAAAATCTTCCCTAATTAATAAATTAAATGATAAATTATTTTTTTACTGCAATTTCATTTCGATTGATTTCTTATATTGTGAAATCATTCCTGGCTGAGACAGTATTTCTTACAATGAGACACATGACAGACGGAATTAAAAAATAATTTATTACGTATATTTCTATCTCCCTATAATAATTACACAAAATATATTTATATCTCTATTATACTCACGATAATTAACATGTATCTTTACAATAGCCGCAATTTAGCTCTTATTGGCCATTATTTCTTTCTTTTTTAATTAATTACTAATATAGCCGTTTATTAATATATTTGTATTAATTTTTACTGCACCTATATATTTTTTTTCACTGTAAAATATTTAATATGCAACTATCATTTATGAAAAAACCTCTTGTCGTAAAGTTAAAAAAAGGATTTGCTCGTGCGATAATAAATAAATTAAATTATAATTAAATTAAAAGATTTAACTGCACTGAAGTATATTTCTTGTTTATCGTTTCCCAAATGAGTGAACTACAGGAATTTGGGAATCATCCATTCCTGTTACCTCTACAAAGAGAGTCCTGCGTTTCTAATTTATTTGTTTTTAGAGAAAAACAAACTGACGTTGCTGCGTTAACATGAAGGAAACTTGAGAAAAGAGAGATGCATATCGAAACGTTTAATTGTGTGTCTAAAGTATGTATCTTTTACTTTCCGTCTTATTACATAAATCCCCACGATACATTCTCATCAGCTTCCGCTGATGATATGAGTACAATTATTCGATTTATCGATCCCAGAAACAAAATGAAATTCAGTCGTCAATCGAATCTCAAAGTCGTCGATTATCCGTTTTCCATCGAATCTTCATACCGAACTTTGTACCATTTTATCTCGTAATCGCTCGTCGCCGCATAATTAAACATAAGTAAAATATCTCAATCCTGTTGAAAAAACCAGGTAAGAATCCATATGAGAAATTCATACGGAATCCCATGATTGCCTCTGAGAATTTGCGCCAAAAACCCAGATCTTAAGTAGGGACTCATATAACACAAACATTTGAGAAATGTTGTAGGAACATTCGAGTATTCTGGGACGCCTTTACGATATCCTTTGAACGCGCTGTATAGAAATTCACGTGGATTCTTATATATTCTTATATTCTTATATGAATTTTTACAAATCATGCGGATTCCTACATGCATTTTCCTATATGGATTCACATGAATTCTTATAGATTTCCATGGAAATCCACTTGGAAATGTTCAACAAGGAATGCAGAAAATGTTCGTACTAAACACAAGAATAAATAAATGAAATTCGCACGACTCCTCGCAAAGATCGCCGACGATCTTTGGCAACGTCCTTATGCCTGCGGAAAGTCGCGCAGGAGGCGATCCTTCACATGATCCCACCCAAGAGGGATCGACATTGCCTCCGAGCGTCATCAACAAGGACCGTTCAACAATTTGCCCGTAAAAATTGCCGTCACGAGGCAGACTCGACGACGGACGATCCGCCGTTGCGTCTCGTCGGCTCCTCCTCGAGTCGTCAACATGGAAAAAACAGTTTGGCTGTACTAACCTGAAAACGGACAAATCAAACGCGAATTTGGATTGAAGGAAACGGAATTTCTGCTTCTCACGAGCCATATTCGGTTCTCGTATAATCGGAAATCCTGTTTCCTTCAACATTTCAGGTAAATTCAACCGAACTGTCCTTCCTTCGCGACTTCAGCGAGATTGACCCCGTCATTCGCGAGGATCGACTGCGCTAGACGGTGGCAGGCTGGGCTCCAGGTGGTGAGCGAAAGACACCAGAGAAGAGGATGGTGTGGCTCTTCTTGTCGTAGATCAGGTAGACGAACGGGTGGTTCGCATTGAAGACAGCTGGCTCGGTCGGTCGGCTCGACCGGAAGCTGAAGAGAGCGGTCGCCGCGGCGGCCGTCGTGCCTTCCTCCGTAACCTCGATCTTGGCCCGATGCACGGCGTCGCCGAGATGAAGCCCGCGTTCACCATCGGCGACGAAGCCGCGCAGATCGGCCACGTTCGGCACCATAAGCTCTCCGGCGCCAAGCGCGGTCAGAAGCTGACCGACCTGGAGGTCCCGCTCGAGCTCGAAGCGCGGCAGGCTCACCTCGACCTCCCGCAGCGGCATTCCGTCGTCGAGCAGTTCACGCAGCTCCTGAGATCCTCTCTGCGTCGCCAGGCGTTCCATGAACTGGTGAATGCTGTTCCGGGGCTCGATGCCCGGATTCTGGGATTGCACAATCACGGACGGCGGTAACAGGACGAACATCGATATCTCGTTGCCCTTGTACGGTAACTCCAGAACGTAGGCGCCCAGGACTTCGGAGACCACTGCGAAGCAAAGAAGGATGAGGTCAGTTGAAGCGAAACAGTATCGACAAGAGTTCGAAACACGTACATCCACACAGAGAGAAAAATACATGCTGCATTCAAGTAAATGTTACTTGTTTCAAGTATTTCTATCAAGGAACACGGGAGCGATGTTTGCCAAGTCGCCTCGTTAAATTTTAACAAAGTTCAATAAGGAGTAATTTGCTGGCTTCGCAATTGATTTTCCAAGATCCATTTAGTCGCAAACGTCAATGAGCTGAAACGTGCGTCGCTTACCGAAATTGAAGTTGCCCTTCTGTCGCATGAACGTGACGATGGAGAGTTGCGAGCCGGAGGCTTTTTCGTAGAAAATGTCGCGCTTGGAATTGTTGGGGTCGAAGCGATACTGCCACAAACCCTTGAAATAGACCGCGTTTGCCAAGACAAGATCGGTTTCGCTATCGATGCTGCCGGGCGTTAAGAGGTCGCGGATGTGTCCCTTCGTCATGTTGCTGACCCAGTCGTTGATCCGAATGCGCATTTCGTCGGGATTCGCGCGGAAGTTGGCCTTTTCCAGCTGCTCGCCGAAGAAGTCGAGCATGCATTCGCGCAGCTTCCTGTCGTCCGACACCCACAGCCGGTTCGCCACCCTGTACTCATAATTATCGGACACGTTCGTCTGGAATGCAAAAATGACCGAGATGAAAAAAGTCGCTCGCGTTTAACATTTAATCGGAAAGAACGAATATGCAGTGTCATGGCCGCCGCTCGTATCACCGTGCGACTTCCGCCGTGATGAAGAGGCCCCTCGAAGTCTCGCAGAAGCCGTCGAGATAAACAGTTTCCGGTGGCTCGAAATAGCGTTTCCGAGCTCGCATGCGTATAATCGGCGCGCCTCCGGGAAATCCTTCCGCGAGATAACGGACGATCCGAGGCCTCGGCTCGGTATTTTACGATTTCCGAGTTGAATCACGAGAATTTATTCGTGCGACCGAGAATTATACAAGATTAAATATCTCCTCTCCTAGCCGATGGAGAATCGCTTTTCATTCCAGCTTCGCAACCGACAGGAAAGGTCGCGTGTCGCGATATCGCCTTGCACACAAGGCGATCTTCGAATTGTCCAAGGTCCGCCGGTAAAAAGAGAATCACCCGGGAGACCTTGCCGTGCGCTTTTAAACGGCGTTGATGTAACGATAAACCGCGATTCGCCTTGACACGCCTAACTGGGACCGAATGCCCGCTTGCGCAATTCGCGCGCGCGTCGGAATCTCACCTGGTTGTTGTGCATCTCGTCGAGAGAGTTCTCAAAAGCGTAGTAGCGTTGCACGTCGACCTTGCTCAGGTCGTCGGGGATGCGCAGGGCCCTCTTCAGATTGGCCTCGGTGGTGCCACGTGCCCCGAAATAGGCTAGACTGACCGCCTGGTACAAACTGTGCGGGCTGAAGAAGATGTTCTCCGTCTCGATCTGCTCGGCTTTCTTCAGGCTGTCCAGAGCGAAATTAAAACGGGATTCGATCAACGACATCTTCGATTCCGGATTCATCATCGCAGGGCTGTCGTTGCCCGTGAGACATTGCGCCGTGATCCCACCGATCGCCAACAGAAACGGTAACACCTGGAGAACGGAGAACGGAGAGAAAAAGCAATTAGAAAATTAGAAAAGAGGAGAAACGTTATACGCCTAGATTGATGTTATTTAAACGCGTTGCTGCAAAAATTATAGATTCTCTGTATGATAAAGAATTTTTTATTACAATAATCACGCAAATTTCACTGGCAATATTTTGCTTTGACTCCTATTACATACTTTTTATATAATTTTTTTTATTTAATTTAATTATACACACAGAGAGGTTTTTCTTATTTAATTTGACTATACATCTGGGAGAACAAAGAGAATTATCGAAGTATTTAATTGTACACCTGGAGAGGAAAGAGCAAGTTAGAACAGAAGAAAATCTGCCGTTACACTAGATCGATTTTATTGAAACGTGCAAAAAATGGTTGATTCTCCGTGTGATAAAAATAATGATTTTATTGCCATGATTAAGCAAATTTCGCTAATAACATCTTGGTTTGGTTTTTATTGCCTTCTTCATTTATTTATTTAATTTAATTGTACATCTAAGAGAGAAAAGCGAATTATCGAGTTATTTAATTGTACATCTAAAGAGAGAAAGGTAAGGTTCGAAAAGGGGAATAACTGATATTACATTTGATCAATATTATTAGAATGTATCGATGCGAAGAATTATTGTTTCTATATTTGATAAAAAATTGCGTTGCAATGATTAGTAATTTACGTAAGTAAGTTTCGATAATAATATCTCGCTTGGGCTCTTATCGGTTGTTTTGCTCCTTTATTTAATTCAACTGTACATCTGAGGAAGCCTTGATAATTTAGTCGAGAAGAACGGAGTATTATTATGTGAAATAAAGTTAAAGCAGTTTCTTGACTGAAAAGAGGACGAGAGACCTGCCTTTCTGTGAAAAAAAAAGTGCGCCGAAATTGCGTATCGAGGTCGTCGATGATTAATACGGATCTATTTATGTCAGCGTAATCTTCGCAGAACTTAACTTTTCTTTAACCTCTTTCGGCAAACGTTTGACAAACCCACGTGATGCGCAGCGAGCTGATAAGAAACAGAACCAACCTTCATGCCCGCGATAGAGCGATTTTCTCTTCGTCGCTTATCGTCGCAAATAGACAGAAGGTTAAGGACGTCCCGTGCGAACGAACACGCTTTGACATCATTTCCTCGGTAAAATATTCTGAGGGAAAAAAACTTTCTCGCTTCGCGCGGAGAAAGCGACATGGAGCGCACCGGATATACGACGCGAGAAGATATACGCGACGCACCCACGGAGAAGGAAGAAATCCGGGCGATATCACGTTTTTTTTTCAGGGGGAAGGGGAAATTTCGTAAGCCAGGACGCGCCTTAACAATAACCTTTCAGGTAATTTATGAGAGTTTCTAGAACGTGTCCCGCACGCGTCGGACCGGTCGCGCTATCGAAAAACCGATCGCGTCATCGTGACTCGTTGTAATCCTTTCTGGAAGGTAATCCTCTTTGAATAAAGCTGGCCATTCAGGGATCAAGGATTCGACGAATTGCAAGGACTTACAACTATAAAAACGCCTGCGGTTAACCCGAAGGATGTTTATGCAGGGAGCTTCAACAATCGTGGTACAACGGTCGAAAAAGAACGATTCTCTCGAAAAGAAAAACAAATACGGCAAAGTTGCGGGATGAAAGTTCGATATGCAACGCAGGATCTACCGAAATTACAAACTTAAGGAAGAGCAATTAAATATCCAACATTAATTCAAGCTGAATCTCGCTACGGATTTAATTCTAATCCCAATTTTGATTCTCAGGTTAATTGTTACACAAACATTTATAGCTCTAATAAAACTCTCGTAACTTTTATATAAAAAAAAAATAACTAGTTTTACCAAATAATTGTAACGAATAATTCTATATTTAAGAAAATGGAGAAAAATGTTTAACGCTAATTCAGAATGAATCTCGTTCAATTCTAATTTCAACTTTGACTCTCGAGGTAATTCCTACACAGGGACTTATAACTTTGATAAAACTCTTGCAACTCTGTTGCAAAAAATAACTCTAATTTTGAGAAATAGAAAAAAATTCCAAGGTTAAGAAAGTGAAGAAGAAAAAGTCTAATCTCGTTACGGATTTCATTTCAATTTCAATGTTAATTCTCAGATTGACTTTTACGCAGGAATTTAAAATTCTAATACAATGTTAACAGCTCTAATAAGACTCTAATAGTTACATACAATATGATCTCATATTAAATATCACATTTTCTTCGAAGACGTTTCCTTTCATAAGCAAAGTTTCACGCGAAAATTTTCCACGAACAAGATTTATCCCGCCGGCCGTGTGTAATCTGTTCACTTCCCCGATTGCATCACGATTGCCTGGCGGTCCTGTGCGTGTCACAGAATGTTCCAGGTCCTCCATACGCGAAATGATATAATCACGCAGCTTCTCGCAATTTCCTTCGGGGCTTGCGCTCAGTTCCGCAACTAGCTACGCAATTAAACACACAGTGAAGTCCGGCCGATCGGAAATCGGAGGCGGCTGAGAGCGAGTGAAAGCAGAGCTGGTGAAGCATCGTGACATCACAGGGTTTGGCTTTCTTGATCGGGACTGACGTGTGACGAAGAGTGGCGTGCGCGTGCGCACACGCGTGACGAAAGCGGAATTTTCGTGGCAAGTGAAAATAGGAGGGACGCCGTCGGACGTCGTTCTACTTGATCGTCTTCGACGAACTTCCCGCTTTTGATGTTTCCCTCTTTGATCCTTTCGGTCGGAAAGAAAGCGAGGGATTTGAATTTCGGAATAAAATCACATCTAATTTGAGCGTTCCGTGTCCATCCCGCTGACATATTGAGCGCGCTTGGATTCGAACGGATGAATGTGTAAGCTTCGGAAATAACTTCCAACTCGGATGTGAATGGAACGCATTCTTCCTTATTTAACGTAAACCATCAGAACTGTCTGTCAAGGAAAATTAGGAATATAACGTAGAAGGCAAGGATGTTGAGCTTAAGGTGATAATAGCGGCCGTATTTACAATGGCGCATCAAAGAGACCACCACAAATTTAATATTATTAGTACTATTAGTAAATTTATGAAACAAAATTACGTCCCGATATATATTTATTTAACTACCTAAATAATAGATGTTGATATGAAACGAATTTGAGATAGACGTATTTGCACAATATTACAAATACGAAAATATTATCATTTGTTATTTTTCTTATTAACGCTATTTTTATACATCAGTTGATCTAATAGAAATACTCGCACAGCAGAAATGTCCAAAATACATTACAGGAATATCCTAAAAATACCACGAATTTTAGAATATGACGTATTTTGGACATTTCTGCTGTGTGAGTAATAGAAAGAGGTGTATAAATATTTAAATATGTATAATGCATATATATTTCGATATTACTATACTATTTCGATATTACTGTAAGTTAGAAATTTTATATTGCCGTATTGTCGAAACAAAATGGTCAATAATTCTGAAATTTTTTATGTCTCTATATTAATCTTCAATATCACAGTAGTTTTTCATTAAATATAGTTTAAAGGAAATTAAAAAAAATAGAAGTTAAAAATAGGACATTAAGCTGAAGGAATACTGTTGTAAAAAGTGTCATTTTTAGTAGCAAATGTTTCACTCTTCGAACGGTCAGTCGATTTCTAATTGCGCCAATAATTAGATCATATTTAAATATATATTTATAATGCAAGTTTCAACGAATTCTTAAAAAACTTGTTTTATGCTACTACATTAAATCGCAGCGTTTCAAAGATGAAGATGTGTCAAGCGGAAGCGGAACAGCAGGATCGAGAGATTAGAATTGAAATTAGAGTTAAAATTAGAATCCTATTCAAAATAGATATCAGTCCGAGTCGGAATCTCATAATTATCATTTACAAATGGGATTACGACCGGATCGATGTCGGAAGCCGACGATTAAAAGCCAGGCGGCGGAGTACAAGCGATAATCGCCGGCGAATTCTCTGTTTGCCACAATATGTTCGTTATCATAACGATCACGTTTCGTATAATCAATCGCGCAATTATGCTTGCTGAATAATCTTCGCGTGCATCTCGGTTTCTCGGGATCAAAGAACAGCGACAGCCGACTCTGGTTCGTTTTTCATTTCATTTTTCTCACTTCCTCCTTTTCTTATAGCTCGCGAGACTTAAACAGTTCGGAGAATCGTTCGTGATGTAAGAATCAGAATAAATGATTGACGGAGACGGGGAATTCCGTAGTCACGAGCGTGTGAGAGAGAAAGAGAGAGAGAGAGAGAGAGAGGGGGAAAAACGCGTTTCTCACCGCGTCGTGTAAACATTCCGAACCACGACGATTTCTCGAAGGACTGCTCAATGCAATGTGGTCGACTCGAAAAGTCCAACGATGATATTTCAGTGAGCAGAATATCCAAAATCCACGCATAAGACGACTTGAAAATATTTTAAAGATACTCAGAGAGATATCTTAAAGTTGTCTTATGCGTCGATTTTTTTGGATATGCTGTTCACTGGGATATCGTATAATGATGGCGACGTCAATTGATTTGTGATCGATAAATAAGCAAATAAATTTTTCCGACCTTTTAAGAAATATACAAACTCTTGAGGTGAAGTGACGATTATTTTTGTTTAATCGAAGGAAGAATGTTAAAAGTCAAAAGTAATTTTTGCCTTCACGAGAGAAGTAATACGTTCGAAGATAAGATATTACGAGGGGAGACCGACCGCCGCTGACAATCTCTTTCTCGAAAACGGAATCTCGACATTAATGGATCGTGATCCGCTTATCGGGAGAACTTTAATGCCAACGGAGCACAATCGCGTTCGGTGTTAAATGCGCGTGACGCGAAATATGCCTGCTACCATTTGATCGTATCGCGCTCCATCATTTTCATAATAACACTACCACATAGCATGCCGGCTCTCGTCGAGAACGTATTAGCTGTAAATATTACACGCGTAAATTCGACCGACGCGTCAAAGTATAGAGATAAAATGCAATGAAAAACAACGCTGACATTGACGGATCTATTTCGCTGATAGGAAAGTCATTTTTTTCTCTATGTCACCAGAGTGTCCCAGAATTGTCGTCACTGCGACATTTCCCGCATTAACCCATTAACTGCCAAATTTTTTTTTTTAAATTTTTGGCCGGGTAAGTTATATATATGCACAAAAAGTTGTGTAACAGTATAATTATATTCAAATTATGTTTTGTTTTGAGCCCCAAATGGGGATCGTGGCAGTTAATGAGTTAATCTTAATCTTATCTCTCAGAATTTTCAGTCAACTAGCAGTCGATTTTATACTTATTAGAGAGAAAAAAATATATAAAAGAATTATAAACCCGAGTAATACATTACGATTTATACCTACAATTTTCCATTTGATTTACTTGACGTTACTAATGTTGCGCAATTCGATGTTTCACTCTTATCTTATTTATTTCGTATTATTCATAATGAAGCTAAGAAAATTGTGATATTTCATATACAGTAATTTTAATCTCTTTTTTCCCTTTTTCACGGAACTCTGATGTTGTCATAATTTCGGAGCAAATCACGCTTGAAGCCAGATTCGGGCGTTAATCCGAGAGCGTAATAACGCTAAAAATGAACGTCGGCAGATAAGACTTATCGCGGTTGAACTTCCATCGAGGGTCGTCTTCAAATAGGACCTGACGCGCCTCGAACTTCTGAATACGAATAACATTACCAGTGTTTTAACTGCAAATTTCGAGGATTTCTTGTCTCTTTCCGGCGAAGTTCCATGAAGAATTTCCGGACGGAGCTGAATTCAAATCGCACGAGAGAGGAAAGAGAGATGGTGCGTACTCACCGTGGAGAACATTGTGCACTCTCGAAGTTCCACAGCGAGCGGAGCGAGTTTGAGAGTATATCGAAAGTGCGATCAACAGAGGCGCGTCCGCACGTCGATCGGCAGGAGGCAGGACTGAAGACCGTGCGACCACGAAAAGACGCTCGAGGAGCGCTCGCCTGGCCATTCCTGCCCCACTACGGTCACGTTTACGTGCGAAACGTCATGACATACATACATAAGCGCACTCAGGATCGGATTAAGCGGAGAGAGGAACTGAACTTCGCTCACACTCAGCGCTCCGGAGGTTTCATGCGAACGCTGCTCGTTTCTACTTTCGAGAGAAGAAACACGAACTCGAGGAAGTCGCGTCAAAACTCGAGCAACGGGAAGTCCCAGGTGGGAACGGCGATTTTCTTTCCTTGAATGAACGAAAAATTTCGGTGTAAAACTGCCCGAGTCATGGTATCGAGAAAGAGAGAGAATGTATCTTCGCTCAAATTGCACGCTTTTTTAGGAAAATAATTTTTTGGGAGGTTTTCTTCTCAAGGATCATCGCCGAAAGTTAAGTTAAATATTCGGTTTTAGCAGTGATTAAGCGTAAATTTTGTTTTCTACGTATCTCTTCTGCGTTAGATCGGTAAATTATGCGTGAGGAGGACGGAGCCCTTTGGAATTTTCATTCATCAAGGCTCTACCTTTCCAATCCGACCCTGAGCGCTTTTACGTGCATGGAACGCACGCCTCTCGCGCGGTCATTACTTCCTCGTGTCTGGAAATGCCCAGTCGTCGTAATCGTCTACTTTATTACCAGAAAATCCCAACTTTCAAGGATACACATCAGGATACGGATATCGCAGTCTGCAAGCACCTTCTACGAAAGTTTACTTTTATCTTCTACGTTGCAAGTTTCTCATAAATTGTATGTCCAAAGCGATACCGAGAATGATTTGCTCGCATATTTTTTGTCTACCTACGCGACTGTGTTAGATGGGTCAAGATTAGAGGGTCAATTGGCTTAACGAACACGGTCAAGTGTTAAACTCTTAAATTCTCGAGCAACGCAAGAGTCTGCGATCATAAATATAACTTGAATGTATATTATCACATGTTTTATGGGCTACTTTATAGCAAAGAAGATTTTTGTAGTGAACGTATCTCTTTTATACAACAAAATGTTTCTTCTTATATTAAACAGTGTATTTTAAAATATTTTTAAATTCAATGCATTTTATATTGATTAATTTTTATTGTGTAATTTGGGAGTAATAATTAAGATAATTTAAATTTATTTACAAGTACTGCGGCTTCATAACAATTGGCAAAATTCGACGGAACACAGGCAAAAATAGTTATAATAAAATAGTTCGGAGAGCATCTTTATAGCTTAAAATGTCTAATTATCTGAAATATTTTCTAATGTTAAATTTATTTTGTTCTGACGATAATTATATAAATATATAAAATCGAAATCTATTGAATATCACTATTGCTTATAAAGTTTGTCAAGTCCCCTCATTTAAATGGAAAACCGCACACAAACAACATTGATTAATGATTATTTGAAAATGCAAATCTTTTGCTTTAATTTGCATATTTGCCGATTGCAATGCAATTTTCTTTTACCGAGTTATTCAACGTTTAAATGAAAAACATCTTTCCAACTTGAGTTGTTCGCAAATAATAAATGAACAAGTACACAACGTTTGTTAGCGAATGAATGGAGAGCTTAAATTCTACTCTTTAAAACACATTGTACGTATTTTTTTATAAAAATGATTTTTTCATATAAAAACTCAATTGAAGGATGAGATTGAAAATCAAATGGTCGCCATTTTTAATTTAACTCAATGTATTATTGCGAGAAAAGACAACGATGTTTGATTTTATCATGAACTCTAGAGACTTTAACCTTGAACTCCAGAGACTTTAAGCTATAAAACGCTTTTTGCATTTAAATAAAACTATGTTATTATCATTACTTTTATAGAATTTATAGCCCGTTGAATTTCATCTGTTTTTCATGATTTTTTAAGAGCATCTGACCTGCCGTTGATCATACTACTTGAAAATAAAAATATAGCAGATCTCTTTTTAAATAGAATACTTCCTCGATTCTTCGTCAAAGACGGTGGCGACTCGTAACGGAAAGTTTGGAATTAATGTAGCCGCAAATAGCGGGTCTAATCGTAACGAGTTTAAATCTTAGTCTAGATAGATGCTTTAATCTCTAAACCTTAAGAAATTGACCAATCACAATTGAATTATAGAAGAATAATTAATGGTGATTGGTCAATTTTTTAAGACTTAAAGCTTAAAACTCTATTGCAGACTTAACCTAATGTTCAGAAAAAGCAGCTTAGTAAGCGCTTTGTGATTATTATTTCTGTTTAGACATTCTCGTAGATCGATGGAAAATTTAAAAAAATATTTCAATTATAGACAATAATCAAAAAGTGTTTAGTAAGCTGCTTTTTCTGTTGAACGCAAGCGATGACTGATTCGTTTGACCCGTTAAAAAAAAAAAGTTCAACGGATCTCTACGGCCATCTAGCAGTGTTGTAGAAAACTCAAATGACGGGGGGTTTGAGTCTCGGCTGAATTTAGTTCCAAAGTTTCCATCCAAAAGATGGCTATATGAAAATGTTGATTTATTATTTGCAGTTATAGATGAATCGTCACATATTGTTATGCAACAGTTTAGTAATTAACAGAAATAAATTAAATATATTTTATCGCATAAAATATATTAAATTGAATGTAACGAAAACTTTATTAATTCTATCCTATTTGGCTATTTTTACGACATTTTCAGGGCCGTATTTGCATATTATTAAACTATCTGCAATATTTTTACAAATTTATTCGTTATGTTACTGCACTCTCAGATTTCCAAAACATATATAATCCAATTTCGCATAAACATTTGTTTCATTCTGTTTATCTATTTTCTCAGAATAATAGAGGAGGATGTAATTAATATTAAAAAATATAACATGTATAAATATCTGAAACTTTATTTAGTAACGATATTTTCGTTACTAAATCTGTTGTTTACGAGTAAAACTTGGAAACAAATCACAAAAATTTCAATTATTATTTCAACTATATAATAAACTACGTGTAAAATAAATTAATTGATTAATTCGTTCTAAATAAAGAATCCTAAATAAACTCGTCCTAAATAGAGAGATTTATTTTGAACGCGCAAAGCTTTTATAATTCCATTTACTTTTTCTATTATTTTTTCGCTCACTTAAGTTCGATATCTTACAAGCAAGTCGCGAACTATCGCGAATCGCTTGATTTTTACACGGGCTTTTTCCAGACGAATCAGTTAAAAATAAATCTTTCTTGATCAAAGCTGCAATATCTGTGAATCTCTTTTTGTGAATATATGACAATATTCAATTCAGAGATTATACTCGATAAGACAAGTCATATCTCGACGTTGAACAATATCTATCGATTGCAATGCGCTTCCATGCCCGCGAGACCAATCGACCACTCTAATGAGAGCTATTTTGGCCAGCTAAAAAAAAACGAGGAGAGGTTTAGCAACAAAATCACAATTCGATAACAGCATCTCGTCTGAGTATATTTTTTTATATAATATTATATGTATAAATAGAAATCTCTATAATGATATATTTAATATATGTTTCATTCAAACATATTTCAACAGTACTCTAAAAGCGAGAAACGTTTCATAAAAATATTTCATCTGCGTAACTCGGAAAAAACTTGGAAAATATAAATGCAACGAACGTCAGGCTTGTGGTATAGATACACACGTTCTAATTATCATTCATCTCTTATCACGAAGTGGTAATATTGAACTGGTGCAAACAACTTGTCGTGGAAGCTATAAAACTGTACAATTGTGGATTAATCTTGGTGAATCAATTTTCTCGTTCAAAGAACTTCGGTCTTCGAACAAAGAAAGTACAGGAGTGATAAATTTTTGGTACCAGTTTAATACTCTTGACTTTCCTGCTTTATAAAATTATCTGAGAACACAATCTAATACTGTGCATATATATCCAGTATATCATACAAATATACCCAGTAAACAAAGAATACTAGATCAACATCGTAAAATTAATTTTGTACATGTTTATTAACGCTTTTGGAGTGTTTTAATTTAACGTTTTTAAAATAATTTTCAAAGATTATCAAATGTGATTTTCCGACAAATATTATAAAAATATTTTGGTAATATTAAAGAACCGGTTAGTTACTTGTAATGACGTCATTACAAATAACTGTTCTAAAAAACAAAGAATTACATTCTAAAAACATGTCATACGCTATATCGTTGCAATAATATTCGTTCAATGATTTTTTTTTTGCTCAATGGGTAGAAATGTAGGAAAATGATATGTCGATCTAAGATTATTAGGTACCAGCGCGCATAGTTGTAAGAAGACATCCGCGATCGATGGATAAAATTACACTATAAAAATAAAAATCGTATGGTACGCGAATTAAATTTAAAACGATCGATAAGTAGCGGCCTGTTTTGTATCTCGTATATTCAACAAATGTGCTAACCTACTATTCAGCCTCAACTGTTATTCTCGAGCACCGCTGATACGCCGTCGTTCACGTCAATCGTGGTTTGCGTCGAGGCAAATGATTTATCTTCGTCGTTAGTCCGCAAATCGAGACGCCTGCCACTCTGGTAATATTTCATGATATTGAGGATACCCAATAGCAGATACATGAAACCCAGAATCACGAAATAGCCGCCGTAGATGAAGTACTTAAAAAAAGAAGAAGAGGATCAATTAAACGTTCGTAATCAGCGTCAAACAAGGTAGCCTACTTAAATCGAGCATCTTAAATATTTCACTTATTTTTGTTGATACGAAAAAATATCTACAGAAAAAGTTGAGTCATGTTGTGTTTGAATGTTGCTGATGTGTCTTTTTCGAGACCAGAGGATTTAACCAATTTATCTCGGGATGGACAAGTTTGTGTGCGAATGTGTGCGTGTTAAATTTGTGTTGAATTAGGACGGGAAGGTTTAAGTTGACTTCATTTACTTTTCGAGAAACTTTTTGCACCGAATATATATATTCTAGAACTACATATTTTTGTTTGCGCGATTTTATAACCAACATCGGGAGGAGCTCAGCAACCCATGACCTTTAAACAATCTTAAATATTTAAATTACGTGTGTTTAAAGGAAAGAGAAAAATCAAACATTTGTGATCTTCAACATAAAAATTCCTGAAAATCACCTGATTTAAATCCTCTAAACTTAACTTGTAGAGAATGTTTAGAAACATTTGTTTACAGCGATGTACCAATTACACAGGAGAATATGAGAAAGCGTGAGAGAGCAAACAAAAATATGTAATTCTATTAAAAAAAAATCATCTTGACCCTCAAATCTCTGAAAAAAATTACCTTGACAAATTTTTTTGTAATAATTGCCCCTCAAACCAAGCAATTTTTTCCTTAAATATTTCCTCGTCAAAAATAAATTAAATATTTAAGATACTCGATTCAAGTGGACTTCACTTTGTACATAGCGAAACAAATGTTTCCTCATACCTACGTTACCAACGTAAGTCTGTTTTACATAATTACGTAAAAAGGAAAAAATAGCACACAATAAGTCATAATAGTGCAGTAAAATGTGCAATAAAATTTCTTACCTGCCACCGGATGTCCAGCATGAGCGTGTTGACGACTATTAGCGTGAGCAGGCTCTGCGCTACCAGGGCGACGAAGATGTTCACGCCGAATATCAAGCCGTAACTGTCCTCGCAGATGTACTTGGCGACCTCGAAGCTACGAACAAGCACAACGACACAACGTCCGAATGTAACACTCTCCCAGTTTCCGGAGACCTGCTCTCCGCTGCAGTAATTTCACTCGGGGCCAGGGTCTACCACGGTATGACTCCGACGATATCGAGACTATTTTGTAGGGAGCTGATCATGGTCTTATTGCGAATCTAAATTCAGTTACCTCGCTACGGTGACCATGGTGTGATAGATCACACCGAATATGATGTAGGTGGCATAGAGGAACCAGATGTTGTGGCTATACGAAGACGCCACCATGATGGCGCCTCCGAAAAACGAGAATATAGACAACGACATGTCTCCAAATACGACCCAGTTCAGTGGTATCTTTCCTACGCAAAATACGGTGAACGCACCTGTCGATAGAAATAACAAAAAGATAGAATTTTAGCGAGAATTTTGGATAAAATCGTCGCCAGTTCTCGTCACGAGGTCGCCAGTTCTCGACCCGACGCAATTGGCGCGTAACATTCGCCAAAAACGCTTCGTACAAGAGAACCGGAAACTTCGAAATGTTTGTATTTCCTCATATTCCAAGTTGAATCATTTTTCTTCCTCTCACTTCACAATTGACGACTAGACTCTTGTTGCTCCCACTTTTCATTTGCTCGAGGATTGTATATCCCAAGAGCCTAATTTATATCTACTTTTTTTCACATATTCATTTAAGACGATTCCTTCATTCTATTCCTATCTTTCCTTTTTGTAAATTGCCATATCAAATTGCATGTAACAAAGAGTGCAAGAGAAAATATCGGTCAATTGAATCGTAAATAATATTATCTAGAAATGCAAAAACGGAGTTGGGCACGCGTATAAAAATCTGCTTTCGAATTTCTAACAATCTTGTGAAACTTTTGCACATCTGTTTTTGCATTTCTAGATGATATTTGCCATGGAACAGATCAGTATGTGTTTTTCAACTCCTTACTGATCGTTCAGTATTGCAATTTGTTAAATCTGTTTAACACGTATAAAGAAGAAAGAAAAAAAACATTAATTAAGCATTTCTCAAACCGATGTACGATAAGTACGATTATCGCGTCACCATTTCATTACAATCTGTATCGGTTAATTAATCAATTAGCCTACATCGCGCCACCGGCATCTCCAAATGCAATTTAGAAATTGCCCTGATCTGCCTTGTCAAAACTTTTTATCGCGTTCACGCGTGCTGCCGTTATCAGCTGTCTAGATATTTGTCTCGAATAGATACGCAGGATTAAGAAAACCGTACAATCGATTCAGCAGATAGCATTAATAAGAACACAACAACTGTGATAATCATTCTCGGACTATTCAAACACTATAAATGAAAGGTGGCGAAGAAACAGATATGAACGCTGAGCTCAGTACGTTCTAATTATACACCTATACTCGTTGGGAATAAATCGATAAAGTATATATCGATCTTGAAAAAAAAAAGAAAAAAACATAAAGAGGACAATTCCCTCGAAAAGTCAACATTTCGAAATCCAAAAGTGCCAAGGCAAACTTCTGAAATGCAAATATCCCGAAATATTGGGAGCACACAAATTATTATGCAGAGTGAAAATATTGAGATAAATACGAGACAATAGCCGAACAATTATTATTATAATAATCATATCTCTCTTTGGTCCAGTTGCCCGTGGTGTGGTGATCTCTCTCATATGCCTGTGGTGCGCACGCTTATTATACACAGGTATATGTGAGTTTAACGCCGGTTTCGAACGGCAACGTTTTTAGATAAGTTTTTACTGAGCGAAGATACTCTCGGTGGTTTGCCATTACCTTCCGAGAAGAGACACGAGCATAAATATTTTGGCTTCTACCGAAATCGAACCCGGGACCGCCAGCATAGCAGATCAGTCCGCTATCTGCTAATAATAATCATCTGTATTATCATATATAATATCATTACACAAGAATTATTATTATTATCATAGTATAATAATATGTTATTAAAGTAATAATTGTTCGGACATTGTCTCGTTGTGCCTTGACTTCGACATTGTAACTGCGTAATAATAACTACTATTTTATTATAATAATAAATTACTATTTATAATATATTATATATAGGATGTCCCAAACCTTTCGGTTCCCGTTCTTGCAAGTGTAACAGGTGAAACTAAGCGGAAAAGTCGTGTACCGTTTTGCAAAATTTGCAATAGTTAATGAGGAATTAATTAATCTGTACGAGCTAATGATCGCACGAGAAGTCGGATTCTGTATAAAGAAAAATGGCTTACTCCTGAAGATGTCCCAGCAACGATAGGTATTAAACTGATAGCGAGAGGCTTCTTTTCAGCACGCAGCCTAATGTCTCGCCTGCCGTTCGTTGCTCTCAGCTCCGTCTTTAGAAATCAGTTGATGCTCGTCGTTGAGGACATCTTCAGAAGTGAGCGATTTTTCTTTATACAAAACCAGGTCTACTGTTTCCCGCGCGATTATCAGCTCGTACAGATTAATTTTGAATTTTGCAAAATAGTATATCACTTTCCCGCTCAGTTTCACCCGTTCTGCTTGCACACGAAAAACAGGAGCCGAGAACGTTCCGGATACCCATATATGCTAATATATATAAAGATATCATAACAAATGAATTATTACTATTATTATCTCGAGAAAGCTGTGTCGAGAAAGCGTTTCCGTACCCGAATTAATATCGGGATGATTTTACGTTCATTATTTTCACATCCGCCAGTAAATTCCCTCGTTCCCTTTTCCTTGACTTCCAAATATTCTCACCGCCGAAAGTTTACGAGAAAGAGAGAGAGAGCGATTCAAAAGTCTCCTCACCTAGAATCGCGTACAAAAAGTCGACGGCGCCGTTGTAGATCTTGTCGGTTGGCAGGACCGAGTCCTGCCAGAGCAGCTGCATGTAATTGGCGATCTGCAGGTAACCGCAGGTGCCCAGGGCCCACCACAAGGACCACTTGAGAACGCGGTGATCCGCGTAGGCCTGCACGAAGTGCCTCCACAGCAGCGCGTACGCTCGCCCGATCTTGCGGAGCGATTCGCGAGTGACGCTGCTCTCGGCGCCGCACAGACACGTGTTGCGAAGGCGCCGGCACTGCACGTTGCAGAAGGAAGATTGGTATTTGTCGTCGGACGCGTCACCGTGATTAGATCCGCCGCAACAGCACAGCCACCGGGGGCCGCATCGTCCCGACCGAGCGATCTTCTCCTTCTCCCGCTCGCCGGCGGGATTCTCCTCTTCATCATCCGTTCGATGGAAATAGATCGATTGGCCCACGGAGGGTAGGAAGAACGACCAGATCGTCGCCATGCTGAAAGCTGCAAAATATGTTACGCAACATATTAATGATAATATAATAACACCAATGTGAAATGATGACGAATGATGTAACATATCAAGAGATTACGACGTATGCAAAGGAATGTTCTCCGGGCTTGAGACAATCGGGACACCAGTCGCGCAGCATCGGTTTTCACGCCCGTGATTAATACTTCTCCGCCGTACTATTTCCCAATCGTGAGAAATAACGGCTCGAAAGTGTCACGTACCCGCGATAGTGATGTAATTGAGCTGATGATAGTCCAACAAGTCGAAGGAAGCTGTTAATTGTGCAACCACGCCAGACATGCTGCGGCCAAACAGGGAGGCCGCTTTGGTGTGACCCGTCACTTCTTGATAGTGCTTCTTGTCCACTTTGGCGTATATATATGTGTAGTAGGCCACCTCTGCCGACAGAAACAGGCCGTAAAAGAGCTCCATGATCTGCATCAACAGCACGCTCCTGCCGAGTATTATGAGGACGAAGGTGGTGACACCCGAGAGGCCGCAGAGTATGATAATGGGCTTATATCTAACAAAGTCCGTGATCAGGAAGACAAATATCAGCATCGCCGCGTAACTGTATGTGCTCACAGGATAAATATCTTGATTCACCTGAAAGATCAACAATATTCTCAATGACACGTGCTTGTTAAACTTAACGCCTCATCAATGAGCCAGTTTATTGGCGCAAACTAAAGCTGGCTCGGTAATGTCCATAGTCACAGCGTTCGCATGACTGGCATAAAATGCTTGCAAGTAAGACGTCTGATATACCAGTGATTACACCTGGTATTAAGAAAATCTGTTTGACATCGAAGAAGCCAGTTTTAGCTTGTTATGTAAGCGCAATCAGCGCTAATCCGCAGTAACAACCTCGTTTTCTGTAAAATTCTTCCATCGCCCCGTCAGATAATTCGTCACGAACGATTCCGACGGCCGGAAGTCCTTGAAGCATCCGAACATGCACAGGATCAACGAGATCCTGACCCAATGCATCCTGTCTGCAGTGTTTGTCCCTCCTTCGGACGAGCTCCGGCTCACCCTGAGCAGTCGAAAAGAATGTTCGGCGCGTCTGTGGAAAAGAAGAAAGCAGCATCGAATTAATTAACGCACTGTCAATGTAGCGAACGAGCGACACGCTCGGTTTAATTGTATATTTTCATTCGATTTACCGTCACCCACTGATTCGAGCGTCGGGACTCACGCGTGATTACGTTACAAAATCAACGGAATCCGATTGCATTTCACTTTAACGGCTTTAACTTGAGCTTTAAGGTCGCCTGATTGCCTTTCTGCGCTACCTAATATCGGATTGCTTATTTATTCCAAAGTAGATAATGTATCGTGCAACTGAACACGCGCATATTTCGCGCGTTGCCAAAGTACATCGACACCAACACGTATATACTGATGCGCTCTCACGCGTCTACTAGACTCTACCGATCAAATCCGCGACATATCAACCTCTTCTGGCGCTGATTTTCACCCGAAACTTTGGATATATAGAAAGCACACCCCTGGACGGATCCATGTTCCCGGACGTTCCGAGCGGCTACTGGGCTGCGTTCGGGAACCCGACTAGTAGAGTCGCATTTAATCAGCCAATCACGATGAAGATATCTTTTCTCTTTTCGTCCTGATTGGTCAATTGAACGCTACTCTAACCGTCGAGTAGAGTTCCCGAACACAGCCCTGAATTATGTCATGACCGATGTGTCCAGCATGCTAGTTGCTATCGGATCGGAGATTTCAGAGGCACACGCAATATTTTTGGTAACTATTGATTCTCTAAGAGCCCGGTGGTAATGCAGAAACTTATATTATCGATTATTCCCAGCCGTCGGTACATGTCTGACGCAAATCGGCGCTAATTATTATATATTTGTAATTTAGGTCAATACGAACAAAGAAGTCCTCTGCTGTTTTGCAAACAACCACGCGAAGTTTTGAATTGTCAATTATTAAAAATGGTTATGTATATGTGGAAGGTTCTTTGATTAATAAATAAAAAATGTGCGTGGTTACTTTTTTTCACTGTAAAATATTTAATATGCCACTATCATTTATAAAAGAAACCACTGGCTGTAAAGTTAAAAAAAAGGATTTGTTCGTGCGATAAAAAATAAATTAAATTATAATTAAATTAAAAGATTTAACTGTACTGAAGGGTATTTCTTCTTTATCGTTTCCCAAATCAGTGAACTAAAGAAATTTAGGAATCATCAATTCTTGTTGCCTCTACAAAGAGAGTCCAGCGTTTCTAATTCATTTGTTTTTAGAGAATAACGAACTAACGTTGCTGCGTTAACACGTTAACTGCCACGCGCATTTCGGAGGAAATCTCCGTCAGGCCAAATCCATTAAAATTTTTTGATAAGAAATATTTAAGTATATTAATTATACGATCCTGAAATTACTTATTAAACTATGTAATTCTTTTAGTTTTATATCGTACTTTATACTGTCAGTTACCGGTTACCTTAGACACACAATTAAACGTTTCGATGCGTATCTCTTTTCTCAAGTTTCGCTAGTGACTGACGTGGCAGTTAACGTGTTAACAGGAAGGAAACTTGAGAAAAGAGATACGCATCGAAACGTTTAATTGTGTGTCTAAGGTATGTATCTTTTACATTCAGTCTCATTACATACATTCAGTCTTAATACATAAATTCAGTCTTATTACATAAATCTCCACCATACATTCTCGTCAGCTTCCGCTGATGTTATGAATACAACACATATCATCATTGAATTTCGTTCTTTCTAACCACCATGGAATCTCATCGCATCTTCACACCGAACTTTGTACCCTTTATTCTCGTAATGTTATAGCTCGTCGCCGCATAATTAAACACAGGTAAAATATTTTAATCTTGTTGAAAAAACCAGGTAGGAATCCATATGGAAAATTCATGTGAAATCCCGTAGCTGCCTCTGAAAATTTGCGCCAAAAACCCTGGTTTTAAGTAGGAATTAGCATAAATATGCAAAAAACATTTCAGAAATGTTGTAGAAACATTCAAACATTCTGGGACGTCTTTAGGATATTTTTTGAACTTGCTAACATATAGGAAATTCATGTGGATTCTTATAATTTTTACAAATCATGCGGATTCCTACATGATTTTTCATTATCCTACATGGACTCACATGAGTTCATATGGATTTCCATGAGAATTCACCTGGAAATTTTCAACAGGCAATGCAGAAAATGTCCGTATTAAACATAAGAATAAATAAATGAAATTCACGCGACTCCTCGTAAAGATCACCGACGATCTTTGGCAACGTCCTTATCCCTACGAAAAGTCGCGCAAGAGGCGATCCTTCACACGATTCCATTCAAGAGGGATCCACATTGTCTCCGAGCGTCATTAGCAAAAATCGCTCAACAATTTGCCCGTAAAAATTGCGACGAGACGCAACGGCGGATTTCTGTTTTTCTCTCTTTAGGTGTACAATTAAATAATTCGCTTTTCACTCTTAGATGTACAATTAAATTAAATAAATAAGTGGAAAAGGTAATAGTTCCATAGTTACGAGCGTGTGTGAGAGAGAGGGGGGGGGGAGAAAGAGAGAGAGAGAGAGGCCCACTACGGTCACGTTTACATGTGAAACGTCATGACATACATACATAAGCGCACTCAGGATCGCATTAAGCGGAGAGAAGAGCTGAACTTTGCGCACACTTGGCGCTCCGGGGGTCTTATTCAAACTTGCTCGCTTCTACTTTCGAGAGAAGAAACACGAACTAGAGGAAGTCCCGTCAAAACTCGAGCAACGGAAAACCCGAGGTGGAAACGGCGATTTTCTTTTCATGAATGAACAGAAAATTTTGTAATAAAAATATAGCAGGTCTCTTTTTAAGTAGAATACTTCCTCGATTCTTCGTCGAAAACGGTGGCGACTCGTAACGGAGAGTTTGGAATTAAAATAGCCGCAAATAGCGGGTCTAATCGTAACGAGTTTAAATCTTAGTCTAGATGGGTGCTTTAATCTCTAAACCTTAAGAAATTGACCAATCACAATTGAATTATAGAAGAATAATCAATGGTGATTGGTGAATTTCTTAAGGCTTAAGGCCTAAAACTCTACTGCAGACTTAATCTAACGATGCTTACGTTCAGAAGCAGCTTAGTAAGCGCTTTGTGATTATTATTTCTAATTAGACATTCTCGTAGATCTAAGGAAAATCTAAAAAAAATTTCAATTATAGACAATAATCAAAAAGTGTTTAGTAAGCTGCTTTTTCTGTTGAACACAAGCGATGACTGATTCGTTTGACCCGTTAAAAAAAAAGTTCAACGGATCTCTACGGCCATCTAGCGGTGTCGTAGAAAACTCAAATGACGGGGGGTTCGAGTCTCGGCTAAATTTAGTTCCAAAGTTTCCATCCAAAAGATGGTTATATGAAAATGTTAGTAAAATGGCTATATAAAAGTGTTGATTTATTATTTCTAGTTGTAGATTAATTGTTACATATTATTATGCAATAGTTTAGTAATTAACAGAAATAAATTAAATATATTTTACCGCATAAAGTACATGAAATTGAATGTAACGAAAACTTTATTAATTCATTCTATTCGGCTATTTTTACATTTTCAAGGCCATATTTGCATATTATTAAAATATCTGCAATATTTTTACAAATTTATTCGTTATGTTACTGCACTCTTCGATTTCAAAAACATGTATAATCCAATTTCGCATAAACATTTGTTTCGTTCTGTTTATCTATTTTCTCAGAATAAAAGAGGAGGATGTAATTAATATTAAAAAATATAACATATATAAATATCTGAAACTTTATTTAGTAACAATATTTTTCTCTACAGCTATTGTCCAGTAAATTTAATTAAGAAGTAAATAATCATGCCGTAAGAAACCCGTTTAATTGATTTAATTAACCATTTAACAGGCCAATTTTATTCGGGACAGTCTATATTTAAATAGATGCGCTGTCCGAATGATGCTCGAGGTAAACTGTTAATTATATCAGTTCGCGATAATCCTTTCAATCCATTTATAATGCGAACAGATGTCGGTTGCTATAAGTGGTAACTCTAAGTAGCAACTTGTTACACCAGAAGTTATCCCAATCAGGTAGTTTTTACACATTACAGAGCCGCCGAAACTACCCTGTAATATAAGATTGAAGATTACAGTCGTAATTTAAAAATTAGCGTTACGACAAACGAATCGGATTTCGTAACGGAACTGAATATAACGTGTTCGTAGAGCACGTATAACAATGGGAAAGAGAACAATGTTTAAGTAATGACGTACATGACACGTTCCTACTTTGACGCCCGTGAAGAGACAGAAGTCGCCAGGAGCGATCTTGATAGTTTCATAATAGTCGCCCTGACATTTCCATCTGTCACTTTGAAAAGGGTATGACACTTGCAGGTTATTCGACACGGGACCATCTTTGTAGAGCATACCCCAGTCTACATTTTCAGCTCTTTCACACGACGGAGGAGGATCTTTGCAATTCGGTAGCTTTACCGGCCACTGCAACGAGTTGTATTCCATAATCTTCTCCACCTGAAAAATTTCAAATTAGCTTTCAAAATCATTTTCGAGAATATAAAAATTTGAAAACGGTCAGAGTGTTATTAAAATGTTCGTATAATAATAGTAAGCTAGGTTTAGAATTTGTAAAATTAAGAATATCAAATATATGTACAGAATTTCTGACAATATGTATGGCAACCGTCGCATGATTGTAAATTAAATCATACTACGTTAAATAAAAAAGGGGTCTATTATTTTTCAAAAGAACAAGTAAAATTTTGAGTTAATATTTAAAGAAAACTGTCGAATTATCGAATACGGTATGGTAAACGAGGTAACATTACGAGACATATAAATACAGTCTGACAATTTATGACATAACGCTCGTATGTGCTCGTAGATTGCAAGAAACTGAACACGAAAGTCTTTTACCATCTTACAAATATTTCGCAATCGTTATTAAAAACTTAATTAAATTATATTATCAAATGAGTGCATGGGAAACAATAGAACGATCTCGATAGGCAAGGTCACAAAATAGTTCAAATCTGTTAACATTTTCATGATTATCTTTGTTTTGAGTACAAAATATATACTTAAAGTTTGATCACTTATTTTTGTAATATCCTATACATGTATATACACACATAGAAAGAGAGAGAGAGAAATTAAAACGTTGAAAATAAAAATGTTACTGTTAGTTGGTGTTTACTAGGTCATTAGATGTCATCAGATTTATATATTCAAAGTAGCATTTTGTATTATTTATCATTATTTATGCTGTATTATTATTGTTTATGCTGCGACTACACAAGGAAATAAAGAAAAAAAATTATTATAGCAAAGGCATTACCCGAATTAAAGCGATGTTATGCATATAATCGCCAACATAATCTGTATTTTTTGCGTATTCGTCGTGGAAGAATATCTTATCGACGTTGTAAGCTTTTCCACCACATTGGAGAATAGAACTTCCAGTAACGACAGTTAAATTTTTCGCTGAGGAACTTTCTTGCCACATTTCTAAACAGCGGGCGTTGGTTATAACATAGACCTGAGTGAGCATGGCGCCACTGCATATGTGAGTTCCTTCACTTTTTATAGAGACCATAAATGGATATTTCTCAGTGTCGGTGGGATTAGCATTTATTAGTCCTCCAACATTCCACTCCTCTTTGATATCCAGGGTCTTGTCCATCCAATAGCCGCAAACTAAATAAAAACCATCATGTTATAATGACGTGGATCGTAACTTCTAAGAGGACTGTTTAGTTTCACGCAAAGGTTAATTTCTACGTAAACAAAGAGGAGTTACAGCATTGTTGTATAACATGATGACCTTGAATAAAATTCGCATTTCTACTTTGCACAAAAAAATAATATATATCAAGTGAAATAACACTTCGCTATGAGAGCGATAAGTAAATATAATTAATTGTAAATTAATTGCAGAATAATTATGTACTTAAATAAAAATTAATAAAAAAATTATTGAACCGTGTTATTATATATTATTACATCTAATTATTACAAAACTCACCTATATTCGCGAGTGCGATTGTCAAGATGCAGACTAATGCCGTCATGTAGCTTGCCATTTTTGAGCATTGACTTTTCACAAGCTTTATAACAGAAAATATTTTTTTATTAGAATAATTAATATGTACTCTCTCTCTCTCTCTCTCTCTCTCTCTATCTATCTATCTCTATGATATTGATTTTTATGGCTTCATTGTTATATCTTAATAATACGAATATTTATACGATGAAGCAATTAAGATTACGAAACAACAATAATAGCAAATGTCACCTTATATAATATCGATAATATTTCAATACTGAGGAAATGAAAATTAACACAAAAATAAATATCACATTAAGCGAATTGGTAAATCAATTCTACATAAACGTATGACATAATAGAGAGAAATATATTGGCGACTCGTAACGTTCTAAATTACAATCTTACTTGTGCGAACTGTGATGGATGTATGTTCGCCCGTTGTATTGGGATTAAGATTTTATAACGTTCGGAGCCTCTCTCGAAGATTCTCGAATCGTTTCTATTGTTAGCTATTATAAGATTCGTTACAAACCCCTCTCCTTGTTATTTAGTCTCTGTTATTATTTGCTCGGTCACAAGATTCTGAAATTTATGATCTGTTATGATTTGTGTTGTGTATCGTGATGTATATTGGATACCGTTTTTATGTTACAATGTCAGAACTAACGAGCTGTTTGTTGCTCATGAGTCGTTCGTAATCAATAAATGATCTTGTAGTTTACTCTCTCGATAGAAATTTCTCAAATACTTGATCTATATTAATCGTTGTATTAATTAACTTCTTAACATGTTCATTGCCAATCACGCGATATCGCGTGATGCGAGTTATCATCAAACGGCCGATCACGCGTTATCGCGTAATAGATATTTAGAGTACATAAATCCTATGTACATAATAATAAAAACATATAAATAATATATTAACTTATTTTGTGCACAATAAAAACTAAATAAAAAAATTGGCCACCACACGAAATTCCAATTTTCAGCTTGGCAATGAACGTGTTAAAGGTTTACGTATGTTTCAATAGCTTCCGAAGTTTTCTGACCTCTCGCAATGAATCTGCTTTGAATCTTGTTATTTTATATCTTGTGCCCGCTTAGTGCTTACAACATAAATGAGTATGAAATATCCGTGAAGCTCAGTTAAATTGTGTGTATTTTCAGAGAAATATAAATGTATTTTCTGAGAATGACTAAAAAACGAATTTTCTTATTGTACGCGTTCTTATTGGATACATTTCAAAGTTTATAGAAAAATAAGTTGCAACCGTCTCGTGAATGGCTACACGTGACGTATGCGTGACTGTACAATTAGTCACACATATGTTACGCATTTTAACGGTCGTTAACACATTGCGAACCGGTAAGAAATCTGTAAGACATACGCCTGGGACCGCACGTTTTTGGGCAAACTTGCACGTTACTAAAATCGTCATAACATTTTTATTGATGAAGCAATGTTTGTTAAACTTTCAGAAATTGTAAAATAGGACGCATTTTAGGTATTATTGCAAAAAAATTATGTTTTTTAATCATCATAACATTTTTAATTATCATAACTTTTTTTACTTGAAAATAAATTTTTACGAATTTTTTAAAAATTGTAAAATAGGATGCATTTCAGGAATTATTAAAAAAATTGTTTTTTAATAATAATCATAACATTTTTATTTAAAAATCAATTTTAAACCAAAGTTCCTAGTACTTTTTTGACACATTGTTGACCGGCAATTTTACTTAGAATTTATCTCATGTCATCGGCTATTATTTCATAATTGGATGTGGAAGTGAAACAATAGAAATAAACTTCAATAAATTTTATTTAATATTTAACTTTTAATATTTCTTTTTGGTGTGATAAACGGTGTAGCAATCACCTACGTGTAATGGTACACAACAGGTTTTGCAAATGTATCTTGTTTCGATCGCGCAAATGTATCTTGCATCGATCACGAGTTTACTCGTGGCCGGTCAGCAACGTTTAAGCAGGAAGACACGAGTTAACTTGTGACCGGTCAACAATGTGTTAAAATATTAGAAATGCACGACGCGTCTAACAGTCTGCAGATAAGGCCGGTTTCACTTTTCTTTGACAACCATAAATCTTCCCTAATACGTTGACCCGAAATGGAAAAAAACGGAAGGGAAAGAAAGAAGAGGAAACTATGAAACAACTGGATACGCAGGTAAGAAAACTATGCCCGGATATTTTTCCGAAAATTCTACACAAAACGAGTTGCAGAATTTACTCGAAATGAAAAAGAAACTGCTAGTCAGGAAGAATCGTAAGAATAAATATTATAACTCACACATTTTTACATACAAAATCCCAGTAAACAAGAAACATTAAATCAATCTTTTGAAACATTGATTTTATGTGGATTTTATAAATTTTGATATAATACTTTAAATGTTCTTAAACTGTTATTTAATAATATAATATTCCTAAATATTAAAACCATATTCTATAAATGTAATTTTTAATGTTTGGATCAAATATTGTTAACAATAACGTTATGTGCAACATTAAGAACTACATATTTGAAAACGTTACATATTATAAAATATCATTGTAATAACGTTGTGTTAATGATTCCTTGCTGGAATTAGAATGGATTTTAAAGAATGTTTCAATCAATTATTATATTCTAATGACGATAAAATATATTAGATTCCTACTTAAATTTCAAATGAAAATATTCATTTCACGGTTTAGAGTGGAAAGAATTTATTCGATACAAATGAAAATCACTCAGATTCAAGTGATTCATTAGTCATTCTATTTTTCGACTAAAATTTCGAGGGTAAGAGAAAAAAAAGAATAGCTATATTTGTGCCTTACTTTTATCGATTGTCTAATAATCCTGAAAGGTTAAGGTTGAACGTATTAATAATTGTAGAGTATGTATTAATATCGGATTAATGAGTCTACGTTTCGCTGACCTATAAACAACAATGGAATTGCTAGAAATCCTTTTAATAACATAGAGATTTGTATATTACATAATTAAACGTAGTTTCTTAATAAAACGTAATTTCTTAATAGATTAATAATTTCTTCAGGAATCTCGTCGCTATTTTTTCCAAGTGATTTCATGATGACGCTTACAACACAGTATGCGTCATACTATGATGATTCAACCTGATTATCGGTAGAAGAAATGAGAATTATCAAATTAAAATTTTAATAAATATTATTATACGATATAATGATTTCTTCGTGTATGATTTCAGCTGCTTTATTTGTTCCTTTCTCTCCGATAAAATGCACGTTCCAATATTTTATCTTCGTTATTAAAAAGATAATTCTGCGTCGCATCGCAATTATCCATATTATTTGTTATTGCGCATTTTCTCCTCATCTTTTGGTTGCGACGAGTTGTATACAGAAGGACAGGCATTTTCGGTTACGGTTAATCGACGCATAAAGGAAGCAGTCTCGTCGCCATTTTACTATTACTACCTGACGTTTCGCTGAGCAGAAGGGGCTTGGCACGGCCGTGCGCATTTTTGTGCATATATAGGGTGGTACTAAAGTGCTGGAATGAATTTCAGGACTCAATACTTCAAGTTACAATTAACAAACAGAGATTTCCAAAAAGCATGAATATGTAAAATGCATTATAAAAATGTCTGAAAGACGTCGAAAATAGCAGCATGTTTCTTAAATGTTTTAACATGTCTTTCAGGTATTCATGATGGATTCAAATAAATGTATGTTTAACAATAATCCAGGCAGAATAAAAATTCAAGATAACGTTCAAATGATTACTTTGTTATTTTGACGTCTTCGTAATTTTCTGTTCTACCTGGAAAGTAATTGTAAACATATTGTTGAGAAATTACACCTGACAATAAAGTCCCAGATAGCACAGAGGTGAATAGAAGTTCTTAGAAAATTCATTTCAAAGAATTTGAACAAAATTGTAGAAAAATGAATATCTGAGTTTCATTGAATCATGAGAATATGATCGAACTGAATTTGTTCTGCAAATTACTACCTTATAACTTAAAAAAAGTGTGACTGTGTAAAATATAATTCTTTATTCTATATGATTCTTGAACAATTTTGGATTCCTTTCTTCTTTTATGTAGTTGAAAGCCGAATGTATTTTAATTATTTCAGTTGGAAAAAACTGTTTTCCACCATATGTCAATTAACACAATAATAATTACATCAATAAATTTGATCTAATATAATCCTATAAATATCGAATCACAATTCATAACGAATGCTAAAACTATTCTCGATCCAACATATGTGCGAACACATGAGATTACAGATTATCCTTGCACTCATACAGATAGAGAAGCGTTTACAAAAATTATTCTTACATTTTACAAAAGTCTCGTGACAGTTGCGAATAGTTTCACGCGATCGACGAAATATGCCAAGCCGAATTATCATTACACAAATTATCTTTTTTATTTTTCTTTATTATTTATTATTCTTAGTCTTCTTTACAAGATCGCGAATATACGTACTCTGAGAGAATTTGGTACACCCGATAGATCTGAGTATCCGCAACGGAAGAAGCCAGCTGCGTCATTTGGCTGTTGGAGGGGATGCCGCATGACGCTTTCCTACGCCGGAACTACTTTTCCAGTCACATCGATTTTCGCCCAATGAGCGCTGATTCGTGCCAAAATTGACTCCCTGCGATACCTATCGACCTGAATTGATAGATCGCTTGTCGAATTCGCAGAGCTTCGCGACATAAAGCTGTTTTCACAGCGCAACGAAGGGACTATTTCGCGCGTTACGGCGTAAGAATACACCCTATTGGCTGACGTTCGGGTATAAATAGCCCCACTCAGAGAGCGCGCAGCCACTCCGTCAGTCGTCTCCGAACGGTGTGGTCTGGATCTCGCTAGTGTCCTCGAACCACTCGGCACGTAGTTGCACCAATAGACGGGCAACAGACGCGAGCGAGATAAAGGTTGGTTGACTCAATATTTGTTAAAATACGTAGTTGTGCGTTGACTAAGCCTGCGAGTTAGAGTAGTAGTTGCTGGTCGCTGGGGTGAACAAGAGAGGAGAGAGAGCAACGGTATCAGAACGAAAGGAGAGATTCATCGGAGTTCTTGTAAGTTGCTGAAGTGCGATTTTCACCATGTTACCGCACATGCCCGAGCTATGTTGGGACGAACCTGTGATACCTTGCGAGGACAATGCGAAATTGAGCAAGTGGGTTGACCAGGTGAGTACCAAGAGGGACTTCTGTTGGAGCAAACCTAGACGCAACTACAGAATGGAGGCCATCCTTACTCACACCCTGTACAAGGCGAAGCGCGAGCTGAAGCGTAAGAAATTGTCTTGGTCGACTCGTCCGTACTACTGCAAAAGAGAAGACAGGAATAAACAAGCTGAAGCCAGGCGAATGGAGATGGATGCGAGAGAAGAGATGAAGGAAAACCTGTACGGTACTTGCGTACAAACTTTGGTACCCGAGTGGAAGGCTGAGGAGAGCACCGAAAAGGGGACTACGAAGTGGGATGACGAATTCGTAAAGGATGTGGAAGATGTACTCAGCAACTTGGACAGCTTCATGAACGAAGTGAATAAAGTACAAACAGTCGTGCAGCGCTAAATAGACATCACAGTTGCACCGGCAGTCATCAAGGGAAAACGCAAATCTACGCAAATCGGCGCATTGAATCCTTCCCCGTGCAGTGACTGCGGCAACTATCGAAGTCTCGCCCGTATCCCTATGTAACATCTTGGGTTTTTTTCCTTGCAGTCTTACCGTTTGAGATGGCTACGGAGGCTGGTGAAGCAACAGAAGGGGCCTTACGAAATGGGAAATTAAGCAGAAAATGTAGCTGTGATATTTATAGAAGCCAAATACTCTGACGCGGCGCTGATAATCTGCTTGTCTTTCACCGGTGTGGTTTGTAATATTGTATCGAATCCAAAGAATCTTTGTCATCTAGATCAACTATATACTTACAGTATTCACAAAGTACACAGAACTGGAAAGAGTCGTGTCATTTCAGCACAGTTTCTAGTCTCTTTTCGTGCATTTATAGAAAAGTTACATTTTATGATACTCGTACTATATAAGGATAAAGTGATATTAAAAGCAGAAACAGTGAGAATAGTTCCTATATTGTTAAATAGTATTAAATTGTGCTTAATCTTGAACAGTATAATTTAACCTAAAAATTAATATATATATTAATATATAATTACATATATATATATATATATATATATATATATATATATATATATTAATTAAATATGTATAAATATTAATTGTCAGGATTAAATCGTATAATATTTTTCATTTACCACATACGTTAAAAAATCTTTAAATCTTTAAATTAATTAAAAAATCTACTATTGTAGGATAATTTATTATGTATAGTTTTCCAAAACTTTCAAGATATGTGGTAAGGTGGTTTTATCATTGCCATTATTTTAAAAAAATGCTGTTTAGGATTGAGTTAAGTAATTGTACATAGAATCTCAATAATGCAGAACACATTGTGATACTTAGTACATAAAGAAGTTCCTTGTAAAAGACTGTTTTAGGTAAGGAAATAAAACCCTCGTTAAGTAATGTGAAATGAATAAATATGTTTTATAAGTAAATTAACGAAGTAAGGTGATTTTTTTCAACATGTCTATTCACCAGTTTATTAATGCCATCACTCCTTTTCAGTCTGGCACATACACACTCTAGAAAATACACCCTATTGCGAGGGCCGCCAATCGAGGGGACGACGACGACGTCGTCGTAATCGTCGTCAGCTTAGAAAACGTGTACCTATAAGATTGCGGTGAGATTGCGTGAGCGAGAGAGGTAGAGGAGGACGAAAAGATAGAATGATAGAGGGAGTATATTTGCGAGTTTCGACGGAGAAAGCTGCGAGTGGGAGGGAGAAAGTCTTTGTTTCTAGAGGTTGGTTCAACCGGCGCTCAGGCAAAATTACCCCACGCCCAAGCAGTCACGTGATCGTCTGCGTGATAACCCGTGACGATGAGAGGCGACTTTCATCCGGCGAGCTTCTACACTCCCACTTTAGCCGAATCAGCTGCGTACTTTCCCACCTCCAGCAGAATTATTGGTTTCTGTCCGGAATAGTGGGCGGGAATCACGGTCTCTGCATGGTGTTCCCGTTACCCCCGAGAGTCGTAGGTACACCTCAAGTAAGATTACTTGCTATGCAAGCATGCGATCGACTTGTTCATTCAGGAGAATGACTGGACAAATTCTTCTATATCCGATGTGAAATATGTTATATGCAATGTGTATGTGTTGCCCGGCGTTGCCATAACCGTGTGCCCATAGATCTGCGATCTGTGCCACGTCCGCCACGAAGAGATCACGGGGATAGGGGCGTTAACGCGTATGTTTTAGATGTTTGAAGAGCGTGAGAGAAACTTTTGAGAGAAGGAAAGAGAGAAAGAGGGAGAAAGAGAGAGAGAAAGAGAGAAAGATATCAGGAACCGAGGAGACGAAGAATGCGGAGGTCAATGTGAAAAGGGAGAAACGATAATAGAGTAATAGAAATAATTTACGTACGTGCAAGGAAATATTGCGTATGATCAAAGAAACGGATATTAATGTTGTCTCGACTCGGGTAACATTCATTTCAATCTAAAAGCTTCAGCTTCTAATTTAATTTTGAATAGATTGTGTGTAGCTTAATGTAATTTGTCTAAAGTCTTGTCGAATTTCTTGATATCGCGAGGAGTCGAAAGATTCGAAGACTCAAGAGTCCGGGGATTCTAAGGACTCTCCGCGCACGTCCAGGAGTCGCGGCCATGCGAAGCTCTCGGAATTGAGGCGCCTCGAAGTCCAGGGATCTCGGAACCCAAGATCTTAGTATCCATTGGTCTCGGTATTCTAACGCAAGTCCGAATCTAAGTATCTACGAAGGTCCACGAACGGATGTCGAGCCTGAGGCGAATCGACCACAGGGATCTACCGCAGAAAAAGAGGGATGTAGGAGTTATCTTACGTGCAAAGTATATACGGAAGGATATAAAGAGCGCAAGGAGCGAATTGCTGTTCATGCGAATACGTTAGCCGACGCGTCTTAAACTTTGACAAGTACGTTCATGTGTGTGCGTCTATGTGGACTCGCATTGCTGATATAATCCAGCAACCTACACGTGCTCTGATTGCTCCATGTTTAACGGTGGACGATACTTGGCAAACAAGACCACGACCTTGGTTTTGGTAACGAAATATCAGGCATTTATAGTAATATTCACGATACATTGATGAACTGTTCTCGGTAATATTACTTTGGGGTATTCTTTATGATACGTAAGATGATAGGGAGGGAGGGAGGGGGAGGGGGTTTGCAAATAAGTCTTTTTGACTACAGAAAGTTGCGTGCATTCGGAAGACCTCTCGTCTGACCCAAGCAGAGCCGACGATAGCGAAGAATATGCAGTTCGAGTCACTCGAGATCTTACGCCTGATCTCGACCCGATATCACTTGAAAACATTGAAGAAAGAGAGAGAGAGAGAGAGAGGGGTGAGGGAGAATACGAAGCGCATTCTGTTCTAACGAAGAGTAAAACTCAGCGTATCGAGCGCGGACATCAAAGCGGCCTGGCTCGGTGGATGGCTCGAAAGAAAACGAAGTTTTCTTGTTTTCCTATACAAATTGATTTACGCTAGCGTAACTAGCTGTCGTTCCTTGTTAAATAATCACCGTACTTATCTATGTTAATGCATCATGCGGACTGCTCTGTTTCGTGTCTCTTTTTGTGTTTCACACAGCAGGCGGCAGAACGAAAGAGCTAAAGCCCCCCTTGGTAGATTCACGAAACGGCACACCGACATCTCGCACTCGTCTAGTCGGCAAGCTGCGTGTGGCCATAAACCCGTTATTCGATCATCGCCGGGAGAAGTACACGCATATCGAGCGGTCATGGAGAATTCGTATATCGCGCGAAAGAACACTGGAGGTAACGAGAGACGAAGGATCGCCCGGTGATTCGCGGCTCTTGTAACCTGAAGTAGGTAGTGCTAGATGGGGTTTGGGCGGGGGCACAAACAATGTTCTTATGAGTCACAGGATGACACATCGCCGCCTCGCACGATGACACAAGGGAAAGCATGCTCGGAAGACCTTCCGTTTCAAGGCGAATCGAGAAGACCTCTTACGAAACCGTTAAAGATTACAGTCGGGAAAGTCATTTTACACGCTCGGTCAGCTCGGGTTGTAGCCTCGGTGGCCGTGAAACGTCCACGAAAACCCCACGAAGACTTGTCGAACCCAGGAATCTCGGCTATGAGGACCGCAAAATCCGATGAATCATTTCTGAATTTGAGGATCTGAACATCTAAGGACCCAAAAATTCCAGGCTCTTATTGTCCCATCTGGAATCTGAATCTCTCAGAATTCAGGGATATATATATATATATCGTGAATATCCAGGTGTCTTCCTCTCCGTCCGAGGACGGAATTTCGCCGGACAAATATTCTTCCTTTCAGATCGCATTTAAAAATTTCATCATCAATCGAAGCTGAATCATTTCATCGCGACGACCCGCGGGGCATTCGGAAGCCTTGTTTTATGAAGGAGATAAATAACAGAGATATCCATTTGTGGAGCAATTTTGTATCAAGACGGCTAAACCGTGTCATACGACAGATTTATTCGAATGATTAATGACGAACTGTTGAAATCTTCACGCTCGAGAAAAGGAAAATCTTTACTACTGCGTAAGATCATTTCTAGAAGGTAGCGATTTTAAAAGGTATTGGAGAAAAGAGGTATATCATATTTTTTATTCATTACAATCTATAGCTTAATATATATATATATAGGTTCATGTCCATTTTTGGGGGATGTACGGGAAGTGGGAGGGGGGACAAAACCACTTAATTTTTTTTTCACAGAAAGCCGTTATTTGAAACCAGTATTTGTTGTCGCGTCCGGAATGTGTTCTATCCACAGAATAAGCAAAACTGCTTGACTGTTGAAGACGATGTGCCTCAAATGCGGTATCTCACATGTCTCTAAATGGCTACGAAAAGCTAAAAAAAAAACCGGCAGAAATGGGTGAAAATGAGAAAATTTAACGAGATGGATCCGGATCAGCGGAAAAGCCAGCAAGTTTTTGCAAATTTAAGTTAGCACGAGATCTTTGGAAAGTAATCGTGAACATTCGAGGTCTTCGGAAGCGAGTTATCAGTGTATCTCAGAATACGATAGAAAGCAGAATTAGGGGTCATCGATCTGTAAGTCTCTCAGAACGTCTAACCGAAGGTCTAACATCTGAAGTAAGCGTCTTCCGGGGGCATTGTGACGNGGGGGGGGGGGGGAGGCACTAATCTTGCAGGACATTCGAAGCGTTTCAGACAGCCGCGACATAGTTAAGGTCCGGAACCTTTTATCTGGGAATCGCTACCCTCGCCTTAAAAAGCAGATTCGCGGAATCCTAGAAGTCGTATGGCCGATCGACTTCAAGAGCGTGCGCTTCCTTGCATCCGCGGCGTTGACGAGGTCGCGGGCAGCCTTTCAAACTTTTCGTTGATATCCCCGATCCGGTGGCCGGCTTCCACATCAGAGAGAGAAAGAGAAAAAGAGAGAGAGAGGGAGAGAGAGAAAGAGAGGCACGTGAGTTCCACCCGCCTCTCTATCACCTTGCCCGCTAATGGAGTGTTTTAGAGCGGCGCGAGACGGCCGTTAAGCTTGCGTCGTGAGTTCTACAAACTGCTCGTCGCTGGTCTTCCAACACCCGCTCGACTGCGCGCGTGCAGTCGTCCTGGTCGTTTGGTCCTCGATCTACTTTCGTTGGTCTCCTTCGAGCTCCTCAAGATCCGTTACGGGCGCACGGGTTGTCCACGAGCTGTCTACGTTTGCGGCTTGCTGCCAACTGGAGGAAGAAGGAGAGAGGAAGAGTGCTTTTTCGTCGACCGGGATTGCGAGGAACTGATACTTTCCAACAGGGCCATTGCGGAGAATGCAGAGTTCCAGCAAAACAGCACTCCTTCCCTTCTAAAATGGTATGTGATTTCCATTAACTAAATGTCACTTTTAGAGATATTTTTGGATTGTTGTGTCGTTGGTCTTAAAAAATATTGTCTTTTCTAGTTTCTTTTCTCTTTGATAAACAATCCTAAATAGTCTGTATAAATAAAATAGGCCATTGGAAAAGTGCAAATTATATATATATAAATAAAAATGTATAAAAATTGACAAATTGATAGATATCATATATGTAAATGTGAAAAATAATAACTAAAGTTTTACCGGATGCGTTCAGGGAGACTATTTTAACGCTACTGCGTTATTCTATCTCTGTTACTCTTTAGAACAAAGATAGAATGACACTGCAGCGCTAAATAGCGTCTCCCCGAAAGCACCCATAGAATTCTACAAATTTTTTCAATCAGATTTTTCTCATCTTAATGTGTATTAGGATTTTGTTTTTAAGAAACTGATTAATCCCGAGTCATTTTTATAAAATATATCTCTACTGTAAAATAGCACGTCTTGTTAATTCTTCACCCTTCTTTTTCCACAGAATTATTTTTCTAGATGTCGATTGCTTTAAGAATCGTCGGTATTTCACACGTACTGAATCACGGACAAGATATTGGGTCGGAAAGGAATATCATTTGAGGACCGAAGAAAAGGATTCATCGTGGGATCATCGCAGGACGTCGCCGCAGAAGAAGACCGTCGTGGGACCGGCGCAGAAGAGGATCACCGCGGGATTTCGTTACAGAAGAGAATCATTGAACGACTTCGTCACGTTAAAATTGTCATGGCACTTTGTCCTAGAAGAGGATCTTCATGATTGGACTTCATCGTGGAAGAGGATCATCGTGGGACGTCATCGCAGAAGAGGACTTTGCAGGACTTCGCTGCAGAAGGCAATCATCGCGGGACTTCGTCGCAGAAGGGGATCGTCGCCGGACTTCGCCGTTGAAGAAGATCGTTACAGGACTTTATCTCGCAGAAGAGAATCATCGCGGGATTTCGTCGCAGAAGAGGACCAACGTCAGACGTCGCAGAGGAGAAATTTCATCGTGAGACTTTGTTGCGGAAGAGGATCGTTATATGGCGGTTCTTCGTTGCGAAAGATCGTCATTGTGAAATCGCAGAGGAAAATTGTAACGGGTCTTTGTCATAGACGTGAATCATCGGAGGATTTCATCGCGGATTATTGTCGTGATACTTCAATGCAGAAAGGAATCTTGTCGCAGAAGAGGATCGCGGATTTGGATCGTCGCATTGTTTCATCGCAGAAGAGGAGGATCGTCGCATTGTTTCATCGCAGAAGAGGAGGATCGTCGCGGGACTTCGTTGCAAAGAAGAAATGTCTACCTAGGTAGACATTTCGATATACTGTCTGCACCGTAACTACTAAGTACGTTAAGATGCGTCCACAACGAGCATTTTGTCAATATACGAAAGAAGAATCTGATGCCGTGAAAATTGCGGCGATACTCTGATGCCATAAATATTGCTGCTTATTCTGCTCGAAAGAGAACACAATTGATCCGGAATTATTGTAGGAATAAGAAAGTCAATACTTTAAGAGGAGAAGTTAATACTTTGATTAAAATCGTGGCATGATAAATGAGTATTTCTTGAAGCAAGCATATTTTAAACATACGTCGTTGCAAAGGCGTCATAAAGCATAAGTTAAATGTTTGCATACTATGTTCGATATTTCCGTCTATCTGGGACGTGTGGCTTCGTCGCAGGTCGGTTGTAGAAGAAGATCATCAACGTAACTCCAGTGCAGAAGAAAAACATCGTGGGACTTCATCGCAGAAGAGGATCATCGTGTGGCTTCATTGCAGAAAAGAATCGTCAAGGGGGGCTTCGTTGCAGAAGAGGATTATCGTGTTGCTTCATCGCAGAAGAGAATCATCGTGTGGCTTCATCGTAGGAAAGGATCATCGTGTGGCTTCATCGCAGGAGAGGATCGTCTTGTGGCTTCATCGCAGGGGAGGATCATCGTGTGGCTTCATCGCAGGGGAGGATCATCGTGTGGCTTCATCGCAGGGGAGGATCGTCGTATGGCTTCATCGCAGGGGAGGATCGTCGTGTAGCTTCATCGCAGGGGAGGATCGTCGTGTGGCTTCATCGCAGGAGAGGATCGTCTTGTGGCTTCATCGCAGGGGAGGATCATCGTGTGGCTTCATCGCAGGGGAGGATCATCGTGTGGCTTCATCGCAGGGGAGGATCGTCGTATGGCTTCATCGCAGGGGAGGATCGTCGTGTAGCTTCATCGCAGGGGAGGATCGTCGTGTGGCTTCATCGCAGGAGAGGATCGTCGTGTGGCTTCATCGCAGGAGAGGATCGTCGTGTGGCTTCATCGCAGGGGAGGATCGTCGTGTGGCTTCATCGCAGGGGAGGATCGTCGTGTGGCTTCATCGCAGGGGACGATCTTCGTGTGGCTTCATCGCAGGGGAGGATCATCGGGTGGGTTCGTCGCAGAACTCCATCGAAGAAGAGAATCGTCGCGAGACTTCGTCGTAGAAGAGGATCGTCACGGTGGAAAAAAAACAGATAACTTAGCATTATGGAGAATTTGATCAAAGATTTAATTAGAATTCATACTCTTAACACTATGAAGCTCATGTTTCTGTCCGTCGTTGTGTGCATATACATCGAATATATTGTCGAAACTAATATTCTAAAATTGTAGAACGTAAATTTTCTACATTATTCAAGTCTCACCTAAATCGAGATTTGAGGATATGATTATAATAAGATCATGGAATTATTGAGCAGTATTCAATGTCGTAAAACATCACATTCCATATTAAATTTTCAACGTTATGCGATTCATATCTGAGAGCTTCTTGAGTATTATTTTCATAATACTTGGAACTTCATCAACGCGAGACCTGGATATGTGACATCGTCGGACCTGAATCTTCGACATCATCGGACCTGGATATTCAACATCGTCGGATCGGAATCTTCACGGAAGAAGATCGTCGCGGGACTCCATCGTAGAAGAGGATCGTCACGGGACTTCGTCGTAGAAGAGGATCGTCGCGGGACTTCACCGGTAGAATGAAACAGATAAACCTGGCATTGTTCGAAATTTTATTCGAAACAAATTTAACTAGAAACCATATTCTTAACATTATGAAGTTCATGTTACTGTCGATCTACATCGAATGTACATCGAATATATTGTTGAAACTAATATTTCAAAATTGTAGAACGTAAATTTTCTGCATAATTCAAGTTTCACCTAAATTATGAGATTTGGATATATAATGAGTAAGATCACGGAATTTGAACGTTATTCAGTGTCGCAAAACGTCAAAATATTTCACATTAAATTCTCAACATTATGAGATTTATATCTGGACTACTTGAACATGGAACTTCGTCAACACGAGACCTGGAGCTTCGACATCGTCGAACCTGAGTCTTTGACATCGTGGGAACTGGATCTTCGGCATCGTGGGACTTGGATCTTCGGCATCGTGGGACTTGGATCTTCGGCATCGTGGGACTTGGATCTTCGGCATCGTGGGACTTGGATCTTCGGCATCGTGGGACTTGGATCTTCAGCATCGTGGGACTTGGATCTTCGGCATCATGGGACTTGGATCTTCGGCATTGTGAGATTTGAATCTCATCATATCGCATCGTGGAATCTGAGTCTTCGACATCATGGAATCTTCAACATCGTAGGACGTGGATCTTCGACATCATAGGACCTGAATTTCGACATCGTGGGACCACTTGGATCTTCAATATCGTGGGGACCATCTGGATCATCGACATCGTGGGATCATCTGGATCTTCGACATCGTGGGACCATCTGGACCTTTGACATCGTGGGACTATCTGGATCTTCGACATCGTGGTATCACTTGGATCTTCGACATCGTGGGATCACTTGGATCTTCGACATCGTGGGATCACTTGGATCTACGACATCACGGGACCACTTGGATCTTCGGCATCGTGAGATTTAATTCCTCCATATCGCAAGCGTTATGAACTTCCATTATTACAGAATTTGCAACTTCAGCATCGTGGGACTTGTACTCAAATTTACGGTATTTGAACCTTTATTATCATTTGGATTTGACTTTTTAACATTGCAGAACTGGAATTTCAGGAATAATGAATCGTATTAATGCATACTTTTATATAATTAATTTCTAGCTCAGCTGCAACATCGTAAAGCTCATATCATATAATATTAGATAAAGATTTGCATACGTGTAAAATAAATTTATGTTACTTCAATTTGCTCCTTTTATAAAATTTTCTTATATAATTTTTGTATATTTTAGAATTACATATAAAAAAGAATATAAAATATATAATTATAAAAAATATTAAAAATAATATATTATATAGAACTATATAACTTTTATATTAATAAATTTTGCTATATATTTATATGTGTATAGTACGAATTTATATACTTGTTATATTTGACAGTCTCAATGTTTCACGATTATTAAATTATATCATTATATTTATCATTGTATATTTTTTATCTCATTCTCTTTTATAATATATCTTCTATTATTCTCTCATAATTATTTTATATGTTTACTGCATACTTTTTCTTGTATTTTAAAGAATAAAGTAAGATAAAAGTATACTGAAAAGTTAAGATTACGTTTCTCGATTGTATTTCGTCACCCGAACGATGCGTAAATAACTTAAAAATAAAAACAATTCACAAGTAAGAATAATGACTGGTATTTATTCAAGTTGTATCAAGATACACACTTTCTGCCATTATTGTCATAATGCCGTAATTCGACTTTAACACATTGATTGTCGTTCCTTTCCTTCATTAATTGTACAAATGCCGCGAATTGATGATTAAATTTGCGATGATATGAAAAATAAACGTAATTCAAACGCATACATATACTTTATCGACCGTACAACTAATTTAAATGATAATATACTTGATGCATAAATTAACGTGGTAATATCATAGTGCTGGTTACCGGCAGCCATTACGGCACTCAATGTGTTAAAACTTGCAGATTCGTAAGAATCATTACACTCTACGATTCCTCGGACGCACGTCACATTTTTACAATATGTACAACGTATATATACAAAAAAAAGAAAAGCAATCGTTTCTCAGCGTTTTTACCGACCCGCGCGCATCACAAGCATTCTTATAAATGATTCGACTCATAAATAAAATCACACATGACAACTACTCAACGAATGCATCATGCTCCTGAAATTAATCTCTCACAAACCATCCAAACGAAACACGAAGCTTCAAAAGGATACCTAAATATTACCCGGGAAACTTCTAAGGCAGATATTAATAATGTAAAATATCCAACATCTTTGCCACTACGTATCTTACAGCCCCGAATATTCGTACTGTTGCTCGTTAAGTTCAATCGTCGACAAGGTAAGATCAGACTGCCAGCCTCGCGGAATTTAGCGTGATAACGAAGAATTTCGTTATTCAATCATCGCACGGATGAAGCATAAAAGTATAATTCCACAAAAATATACAAAATACACTTCATCGTAAATATAAATATATATATATTTACAATGAAGTGTATTTTGTATATTTTTGTGGAATATATATATATATATATATGCTTATGAAACATTCGAGTTGTAAACTGTAAACTTGACAAAATTCTTATAAATTTTCTTACACATCGAATGCCCCGGATATTCGCGTCGGATGATTAAAAACGGTCGGTAACATCATCAGTCTTCAATTACCCCAAGTCCCACTTTCTACATGGTAAAATTTCCTCAAGGCTGGCGGTTTCTCACTTCGTCGATGGTTGGACTTCGAGTCCCTCAAGCGATATTAGCATCTTGTTTGATGCCTTGAAAAGGATTCTGTATCCTGGCAGGTTTACTGGGCGCAGCAAGGAGCCTGCTCCAAGCCCGGCAGGTTTTACCGGACCAGACCCACATGCCGGAAGTAACACCGACCACAAGGGAGAGGAAGAGCCTGAGGAGGGCCACTTCGAGGCCGGCGGCCCGATAAACCGGGCCCGGGGCGCAATTCTGGGTGGCGCGACAATCTAACGCGGCCAGCAAGGCTAGCTTCCGCCATCGCGGCCTCACCGACGATTCGTGAAGAACGCAGATCAGCTCGCCCAGCGCCGGCAACGCGTACAGCAGCGCGAAGATGCCCAGCCGTGTCATCAGACGCTCCAGCTTGGTGGCGCTGCGCCCGGCGCAACGCACGGCTCTCCGAACGCGAACCAGCGCGCTCCCAGCGATGCTGCCGAACACGCAGCCCAGCAGCAGCAACACCGCGTGCGGCACCACCTCCAGCCAAAGCGCCGACTCGTCGGAGATTTGGCATAGCCCGGTCAGCTCATCCGCCACCACGTTACGCGACAACAGGCTTCCTGGAAAGAGAAAGAGAGGAAAGACGGTGAGTAACGTGTCGTTACCGATGGTAACAAGTCGACGAACACTTTTGTAAAAATTTCCAAGAAATCTCCCTCGAAGATATCGTCCAGATAAACATGTTAAGACGCGTCCTCACAAGCATTTTGTCAGTACATACATAAAAGATCATCCGATGCATTTGAAAATTGCGGCAATATTGCGACGATATTCTGATGCCATATTGTTGCTTATTTCGCTCGAAAGAGGAACGCATTTAACCCGGAATTATTGTAGTAGTAAGAAGTCAATGCTTGGGTCAAAAGCATGGCGTGATAAATAAGTATTTCTTGAAATAAGTATATTTTAAATATCGTGCTGTTGCATTGGCATCACGAAGCATAAGTTAAACGTTTGCATACTATGTGCAATATTTCTGTCTATCCAGGCGAGAGATTGCAATTCAAGATGATTACCTCCTGTAAAGAGTACAGGAAGAATCCACGCGGCTACGTGAAGGTAGGACGCGATGTTGTGAAGAGCTTCGCTGCTCCACTCGTTCCTGGCGCTCAGCAGCCAGCAACCGCAAAGCACCGCCCACCACGTGCTGCTGGCTAGTCCCACATAGTACCTGACCAGCCACCAAATTGTACAGGGAACGCTGTTCAGACCGTCGCGAACCTATCGGTGAATGAACGTTTATTAATAGACGAAGTGATCACGAGATATATTTTACGGACGGCGATAACATCTGCTCTCCCGACGATGCGTATTAGACCGGCTACCAGACTACGAGATTAGTATTTAAGTCAGGTGGCCCGTAAATTTCTTTTCTAGGAATCTTTCCGAATTTTGACAGCAAATTAATTGAAGCAACTAATCGCAGGCCCAAACATATGTAAAATTAGAAAAAATACTGACCATACCGAAGCTGAGATAATTGATGCCGAAATTAGCATCGTTCATATGTATCATAGATACCGAAAACGGCTTCCGATATCGCATTTTTAATTCTAGCAATCAAAGTGTTCTTACGGTTTTAATGAGAAACGGAAAAAATGATGAGAGACTTGTACACAAAAAATGCATATCACATTCAAATAAACGTTACTTATTTAAAGTATTTCATAAATTTATATATTCCTAAATATATCTCGTAAGTTCAATCATAAGCATCAAATTTATTCAAAATGTATTCTGAATCCTAGTAAGTACTTCAATTAAAAATGCTAAATTAAAACAAACTTCGATTTGCTTATTATACAAATTAACTGAATTTAACCTCCTCTCTCTTCGATGATTTATAATATTCTTGAAAAGAGAATAAATTCTTCTTTTAAGTGCGTGATAGTGAGAGCTTTTCTACATTTGTGATGAGTACATCTTAAGAGTATTATCACAAGAAAGATACCCTAGGGAAGGAAACTATTATTTAAAAGGAACAAAGGAAACCGAGCGAACGCTTTTCTTAGTAGTAAAATACTTCTCTCTACGTTTCAATTGCTCACCGGAACATAGCTTGTGTCGTCGATCTCGACAGCACAGCTGAGATTCTCAGCGCCCACGACACCCCGGACGATATACGCCACGGAGAGGAGATTGTAGCAGAGAGCCAAGAAGACTATCGGCCTCTCGGGATAGCGGAATCTGGACGGCTCGACCCAGAAGGTCAGCAAAGTGAAGGAAGTCGACAGGAAGCACAGCCATGCCCAACCGGTCATCCAACGCTCGGCGAATCTCTTGTCCTCCGCGCGATAGTAGGCGTCGGTGCCGCAGCGTGGTGCGCAAGAGATCTGGAGGCAGCCACGTGAGATGATCGATGAGAAAATACTGATTCATTCTCCTACCGTTCTCGAGAGTCAACTGCCGATTGCGTCCTAACCGTTTTTGCTTCGGGAATCTGCACGAAAGGCGGCGGGCACTGGTGATGATGTTGCTGCTGCTCCTGCGGGGAGATCTGCAGCGGCTGCTCGTGCACCATCGGCCATTGCTGCTGCACATTCGGCAATACCTGGAGACTGGTGTCGTCCGATGCTTCGTCCGGTGATTTTACGCAGAGTACGTTGTCTGCAATATATTATTATTATTAAATAAATAGGAAAACAACATTCTCCTCTTGGAAATATAACATAGAAATACTACACTTGCATGGAGCTTGCGTAGAATCAAAGGCGTTTTTATCTAAAGATATTTTATAGAGAAATTATGTAGGATGTCTGTCGTTAAGTGTCTCATCTTTTGCATATATTTTTGTACTTATAATTTAGGTGAACGAAAAAGTCATACCTAGACATTGTTATTAGACGACAGACACCAATGTATTGAATTGAACTTTGAATCTCGAACTTTGAACTTGCTAGGCATAACAGCCACCGTATACTAATAGATTAGACTATTCTAAACCAAAAAATCCTTTACCATTTTGCAAATAACCACGCGAAGTTTCGAGTTATTAATTAAAGAAATTTCTACACATAGTCATTTTCAATAATTAATAACTTGAAATTTTGCATCGTCGCTTGCAAGGAAGACTTCTTATTCGCACTGACCTAAACTACACGCAGAAAAAAAATTAATCTTGAATCAAGAATATAGATATTCTCATATATAAGCAAGAATATTTATTATAATCTTCTTAGAAGATTTTTAGTCTTGAATTAAGTTCAAATAATACTTACATCAATATAAATTCAATCAAATCGAGATTAAAGGTTTTCTAAAAAGATTATGATATTTTTGCTTATATATGAGAATAACTATTTTTGATTAAGACGAATAAGACGAATAAGACGAATTTGTTTTCTATGAAAGTATATGACGGATAGACATTTAACGAGCAGACATCTTGTAGACGATGAAGCACACATATGGAGTCCTCCTGAGTGTAGAAAGTCGTAGAAAGGTGAAAGTGCGCTCATCCATATCCTTGTACGTTCAAAAGCACTCCATTTATACGCTCTGAAGTATACATGTCCCGTAATAAAAATCGACAAATTTGCAAGACAGCCGAGAATCTATTCTATCTCCAGGAAGAGATTAGTGATTCGATTCGGTATTGAATGTAGACTTAAATTGCTATCTTAATCCGATGTAGATCATCGACCATTGACTGGTCGACCGATTCGATGATAAATGGACGCTCACCCTGACTCAGGAAGCGATTGCAGTCCAACATGTGTGGCCATGGAAGCGCGAGGATGGTTAAGGCCGGCTCGCAATCCCTTCTTACGGAAAGGCAAAGGGACTTGCAGACAGGTATTTGCATAGTCACATGTTCCGAGCAGACCGGCGCGAAAACGGCGCATAAGAAGAGTCGGAGATGTCTCGAACAGTTGTAGTGGACCAGTGGCATAAAGGTTGCCAGCTGCAAACAAATAGGTCGTTAAGAAATGATCATTAAAAACAACTTGGCAAAAATAGATACGCACACGCACATACACGCACAGTTGGATTAAGGATTGCAACACTTTTCTTCGACGAGTTTCGCAACGTACTCCGTCAGGTCCAATAGGAGAATTTCTTAGTAATTCTTAGGAAATACATTTTCTTATTGAAATGCATCGAGGAACTTAACGAAAAAAATGGTGCAACCTTTAATCTGTTACATCTGTTATAAGTTCGTGTTTGTGTACGTGTACATGTGTATAAAATGGATACACATTATCAGAGCGCCTATTTTAACGAAAAAAAATAGCCCGATAATTCCCTGATTTACAACACTGTTTTATGTAAATTCAAGCAGTTTTCGGTTCTCACAGATCCTCCCTCTTTTCGTTTCGAATCTGAATATCTAAGAACCCTGTTGCTTCAAATTCACTACATACAAGTCCCGGCGCACACTTTGCTCGCCCAAATTTACTTCTCGTCGCAGCCTCTGGGTTTCGTTTTTCAATCATCATTCATTCGAAGATCCGCTCGTATTCCACGGATTACTCCGCTCGTATTCCACGGATTACTCCGCTCGTGATCACTACCGCTCGCTGGCGAAGAATATTTTATATTTCATTGCTGGTAAATCGATTTAATGGTAAATCAAACCTGCCAAGGATGTGTGTGCTCCACCGCCTGCGTGTGTGTGTCTCATATCATTCGCGAGATTCTCCGCGTTTCGTACGAGCCTTCGCGTTTGTCTAAATTCTAAACACGCGAGGCGAAGGCAATAACACGAACGAGGATGGGGAGAAAGAAAGACAGGCAAAAAGAAAGAGAGAGAGAGAGAGAGAGAGAGAGAGAGAGAGAGAGAGAGAGAGAGAGAGAGAGAGAGCGAGGGTAATGCACCTAACGGGGCGGAGAGGAGACGCTTCGCTTCCATGAGATATAACGAGCGGTGGGCATCGGGGGTAATTATCCCGCCCATTCTTCCCGCCTCAATCCCGATAGATCCTCGCACGTCCTCGCCGGGGTCCGCGCGTTGCTGCGGCCCACCGGGCCCATCTCTCTCCCCCCCTGCTTACCTGTCGCCCCTCTGGCCCCCTCACCCTCTAGATTCGCCCATTACGGGCGAACCCGATGCTCTTCTCTTCCACGGCGCTCCCAAATTATAGCCTCATGAAATTACGTGGTAACCCGTAACGCCGGAGCCCTCCGCCGCTTCGGCTCCCCCCCCCCTCTTTCCCCTCCTTCTCATCGTGATGTTCTCTCTTCGGGTTCTCTTCTCACCGATCAAGGTGGACCAGCAGCGTGCGGCCGGGAGGCAACAACACAGACAGAAANAGAGAGAGAGAGAGAGAGAGAGAGAGAGAGAGAGAGAGAGAGAGAGAGAAACCCAGTCTGGAAATCGCGCGCGGATCATTTCTATTCTTCGCGTACGGTAGACAACCGATCAATAATCGAAGATGGCGAGGGGGCACTGGTATTTTTGACGCGAGGGCAGCTGTCTCAATATTTTCTACGGAGTCGCTTTGAGTCCCAACAGGACCGATAATTGAACCCGTCGAGAGTATACATCGCTCTCGCGTCGGTACGCGTTTGTTATTATCGTTATTCTCTCTCTCTCTCTCTCTGTCTCTCTTCCTCTCTCTTTCTTTTTTTTTGCAATCTCAGATCTCGCGTCGCGAATCCCAAGAGCGCGAGAGAGCGCGACACGCCGCAGAAGAAATCGGAGCAGACCGGTTCGTTCATTATTTCGCATTCTTCTCCTCCGGGAATGACCAGAAGAAGAAGAAGACGGGAGTAGAAAACGGCGCATTCCCTCCTTTCCGCCTCTGTATTCCCTCCCTCTCCCCCATCGTGGTCCCCTTCGAGGCATTTTCAAAGCGGCTTGACAGACAACTCACGGATAGAAGAAGAAGAGACAGACGGACGGACGGATGAACGGAGCCGACTTACTTCTTATTGCAGCCCGCTCCCTTTTCCTTCCCCGCTTTTGTCCTTACGCGGCACGCTCGTTCCGCCTCGATCGAGTCATTGTGAGGGTCCTTTGTAGGACTGCATGTATATTTATGCGACGTGACGCATAAATCCCGACGAGACGCGATGTCGCAGGCCGGGGAGGGATACTTTTTGCGAGGGGGTGCGCGATCCTCGCTTTCGGAGCTTTTTGCTTCCTGCTGTCAGCCGTTTCCGCGGAGAAATGTAATAAATCAAATGTTGTTCGTGCCCGGACGGCGAATTCTTTTGAGATCTTGGAGATCCCGAATCTCCGGAAACCTTTTTTTGGGCCTTTCCCCGGTTCCCTTGGGAAATTTTCGTCGCTCCAAGTTTCGATGAAGAACGAAATGAAGATCAGCCGCGTGAATTTCTCAGAATTTCGATACGATCGTTTAGCTCTGGAGCTCTGTGAACTCCGAAATCGCGTATCTGTGAAATTGGCTCGACGTTTCAATGATTTTTAAAAATTATTAAATGATAGTCTCCATAGCACTTTCCACATTTCTACAGTTCCTGATAAAAATTAAAAAAGTTTTTAATATAAAAATATTTAATATATTTTTTAATATCAAATTTTTCATTTCATTTTTAATATCAAAAATTCGAAAATAAAGAAAGAGAACAGCGTGCTAACTTCTCGTTAATTTTTACCTGCAACTATAGAACTATGAAAAATGTTACGGAAATTATCACTGTTCTTTAAAAATTATTGAAACGTCATGCTAGCTTGGCAAATGCCGAAATTGCGTGTCGTTAACCCTCACAATATTATGTTATGCCTACGAGGCCTACACGCGTTTTCTTCGCTTATCTCACTTCTCTTTCTCTATTACTCAAAAGAAAGTTGGGTCCATGTGACCACTGTTATTACCAGCCTGATCCAATGAGATAACTTTCCTGACGGTAGCCAGTCTACAAAGACAATACATAAAAATTAATAATAAACTAAATAATTCATAAAAGACCAAGAAGTGCAGGAAACCATGATTCTTATAATTTTTTCGCCATGTAGACCTGAGAGACCTATAATTTTACTTCAGTATCAAAATCACGGGTGTTACAGGTTTTCATATTTTGATTAACTTATAGTTTAGACTTATATACAAAATAATTGTCCGATAATTGTCTCGGAGTCCGTGCAGATGAAACAGAGATGAAACTGAACAGGAAAGTCGCGTACCTTAAAGAAAATTCGCAATAGTTAATGAAGAATCAATTAATTCGCATGAGCTAATGAGTGTACGGGAAGCGGTAGGCTCCTGACGGTTAAAACCTTCCGAGGAGTTTGTGAAATTTCTAAACCGAATTGTTTCAAAATCCCAGAATTATGCAGCTCGAAAATGTCAACGTGTCGAGCCTCCGAAATCTCTCGAGACGCTCGAGTCTCCGAATCTTCCCATCTTCGGTACGAAGCCCGGGTGATTCGGAACGTGGGTAGTTTGAAATTTCGGCGCGGAAAGAAGTAAGAAACCGACGTTTAGTATACCCGAGATATCGCACTCGAAGAGATCGGGACGAAAAGAATGACCAAGCGCGCCCTGCAATTTGCCACCTTCCGGGAACGACGGCACGTGATTGGCGGTGGCGCCTTTCTTAGGATCACCGGAGCTTGGAGGAGTCATCAGCCCGCGAAACGTGTTCGAGCTAATCCCTCTGTAATTGTCCTGACTAGCAGGATGTCGACTAGCTGGTTCCGAGGAACGATCAGTTGCGCGAGTTTCGGCGTGTTTGCAACGTTTCGGACCTGCGAACCAAAACTCACGTCGTTCCACATTCACGGATTTTTTATTCGAAAAATCTCTTACGAGAGACTTTTTTTACGATTTTCTTTCTGGAAAAGATATAAAAAGAATTGTAAACATTTCAAATGACATTCGAGTCGGATTTATTTGAAATTTCATTGCGTTCAATATTTCGTCATAGAAGATTCACCGAGTTTTTTCTACTCTCTTTAATCTCGGAGAAAACAATCAAAGTCGAAAAATCCGTCTTAAAAGATCTATAAATTCCATATAATTTATTTATTTATTAATTTACAGGAGTCATCCTTTTCACCATCCTGGCGCACAAAATATGTAATATAATCAAAATAAGATAAGAAAGAATTAAAGAATCGCACGTAGTGCCAAAGACATTGATATTTTCCTTTTACAGGACCAAATCAACCCGTACTTCGAATGTTATCGCCGTCGGATGCAAATTTCGTAGGTGAACGCACCGATAGATAAATCGGATAAAACGTCCTCGTTAATTGCGCAAGAGGTTGCTGCTGCTGCAGATGTCGATACACTCTTCCCGCGAGAGCGCACTCCCGCGATTCCTCCACGTTCGATCGCATCAGTGAAGAACGTAACCTCCTTTCTCTTTCGAGTCTTCTTTCAAAGAATAATGAAAGTTTAGTCCTGCATACCGTAACGAGCAAGAAGAGGATTACGTACAGAAGCATCGCTCGAGAATGGCGTAATACCGGACGAATATACCAGAAACGAATGCAGAAAAGAGTTGAGATCCAATCGCGTTCCCGTCGAATGTCTTCGCGGGAAATCGATCGCAAATCGTTGGATTAAAAGCATCGATCGAATTGTAAAGCTGCGAATGCGAATCTCTCCGCATAGAACATTTCTTGGGATCTAATTGGAATTCACGATTTCCTGAAAGAATCATGAATTCTCGTTGGGAAATCGAAGTTCTAGTTGAAGAAGTGTGATGTTTCAAATACAGTACATTCAACATTCCATCGTGGAAGATCCGTCGGGCTTTTTCTACTCTTTTTAATCTCGAAAAATTACTATACGGATCGGGTTTTCACGACTTTGTAAACGATCGTCTGATGGAATTTTACAACAGAAAGCGGGAGCTTCGGAGTTTCCAACGGAACCGATGGGACTTGGATTACGAAAAGCGGCGGCTCGGCTTTTACGATTTACGTCGTTGCGCGCGCGCGACGACTTACATGAGTGTGTGTGTGTGTGTTTAATGGTATCACCAACGGAT